TGGAATTGTAACTCTCCAGCCAGCTGTGGTTTGGTAGGTATAACTGTAATTGGAGTGCCCCACCCCATCCCTGGCCCAGGGTAGTGCCAAGTTAATGGAGTGTCTATACGAGGAGGCCTCCTTCCACCTCTTATGTCTGCTGGTTGAGGTCTAGGGGTCTTGAAAACTACACATTTGGAATGGTTATCCTTAACATTTTGCTAGTACCCAGCAGAAAAAATCAGGGTCCCACCCTGAACTATCTCCACCATTTAGTGGTGTTAAAAGAGTCAGTGAGCAGCCTCGGCAATGTCTCATCCTTATCAACAAGGGTTTAGTTCTGTGTAGCAGGCACTGGAGTATGTGCTCAGAAGGACACCAAGGTACAAAGTAAGAAAGAGAACTGAGTTTTTAGAGGCGAAAGGAATGGTTGAGACCATGTTGGCTTCGTTTTTAAGAGGAGTCACTGGAGGGGCCGGGAGTTGTGTCTTGTTGGGAGTCACAGAGCTAGCAAGAAGTGGTGGAGTTAGGATGAGATTATCAGTCTCTGTCACCCAACCCAGGTCTCAGCATGACCATCAGATTGGTCCCGTAAGAGGCATGCATTTCTTTTCTCCATCACATTTAGCTTTTTTTTTCTTGCCCAACATGATTTAACACTCTGCTAGCTTAGAATGTAGTTAAAGGAGTGTCTCTGGGAGAGGACAAATTTGGGACTTAGTGCTCCCCTAGGAAGTCTTGGGGGGTGGCTGGGGGGCCTCCAAAATGGGGTGCTGATGTGAACTCAAGGGTTATGGGATCTACCAATCTGGTGGTAGGAAAATGGGTCAAATTCCACTCCTCCCTTGGTAGCCAATCAAGGGGTTTGTCTCCAACATAACCAGGAGGTCTCTTATCCCCCCCACATTCCCTGACTCTGCCACTTCCCTCTGCTATGCAAACTCCCACCTTTCCCCTTCTGAATCAGGCACTGGACCCTCAGGGGAGTCATGACCTAACTGCTACCTTTGCACCTACAACCGCTGCTGCTCAGATGCTTTTGTGAAACTCCATCCAGCATACCCACCCCTTACCCACGAGATCACCCCTCATCTTTGTGGCAGAAGGCCTGGGGCAGAGTCACACAAGATAAGCAAACATGTCTTTGTTTTGTTGTTGTTCAGTCATGACCCCATTTGTGATTTTCTCAGCAGAGATACTGGAGGGGTTTGCCATTTCCTTCTCCAGCTCATTTTACAGATGAGGAAACTGAGGCAAACAGAGTTAAGTGACTAGCCAGGGGTCATATAGCTAAGCGTCTGAGGTCCAATGAACTCAGATGAACTTCCTGAGTCCAAGCCTGGTACTCTATCCACTGCACCAAGCAAACATGAATGGTTTGCAAATATGCATCAGAGATCTCCTTTTTACATCATCTTCCTCTTCCCCTTCTTCCAAAGCCACCCCTCTTCAGGACTTCCCTATTACTGTCATGGGCACCACCATCCTTCTGGTCACCCAGGGTAATGATTTGGCATCATATCTGACTCCTCACCCTCCCTCATCTCACACAGATGCCCAATCATGTCATGTCTCCCTTCCCAACATCCTCAACATCTGGAATTTGAGCTCCCTTCCACCCTCAACATCTGAAATTTGAGCTCTGTTCCCTCTATTCCCAGAGTTCCCTTCTCCCACAGCCACTACACCAGTTCAGGTGCTTATCACCTTTCTCCCGGACTATTACAATAGTCTCCTATGGTCTCCCCGCCTTTAAATCTCTCCCTCTTCCAATCCAGACATTCTCTTCAGTCTCTGCTCTGTGCTCAATCAATTCCAGTGGCTCCCTACTGACCCTAGAACCTAATATCATTTCATCTTTATCTCTCATTCTTTTTCAATTTTTATTTTTATGTTTTATAATGTACATAATTTCTAGAGCAGAAGTATACTAAATAATTTATAAATATGTAAATGTAGGAATATTGAAAGTGTGTGCTCAAAATTTGTTTTTGTTTTTTATTGCTGGAGTACATGACCAAAAAAGTTCAGAGATCCTTTTGGGCAAAACTCTAGACCCAAAGTTAGAGACTGGGCCACTTCCCTCCCCTTTGGTCATTCGGGGTTTTGATGGCGTTGTTCACCAGATACCGAATTAGTAACTAATAGACAAAAAGAGAGGCCAGGGTGGTATATTGTATAAAGAGCTGGCTTAAGCATCTGGAGAGTCTGGCTTCAAAGTCTCACTGCTCACATATAACTGACCGTATGACCTTGGACAAGCCATTTAATCTTTTTGTGGCCCAGACAACTTGCCAAAGACTTGTTGCAGAGCAGATGGTGATCTGCATTGGTGAAGGGAGTTTCCTTATTGGGAATTCCCTAATGAGTTCCCAGTGAAATCCCAAGTCCATTCTACATGCAAAGCTCTGGATTGTGGATGGTTCTGTGAGCTGTCATTAGAAGACCTGTTCCATTCTATTCCCAGCTCTGATACTGATTGAGTTGATGATGATTCCCTTCAGCCTACAGGGCATTTTTATTCCTTTTCAGGGGCCCTCCAGGGCCCCAGAGAATGGGTGAAAAGAGGGAAAAACTACCCAGTCCCAGAGATAGAAACTTCCACTGCCTCTTATGGGTTAAAACACTCAAGACTAAGAAACTAAGTCATGATTCTCTCAAGCCTGGGTGCTCTGGACCCTGGGTCAACCCTCGGGCTGGAGACAGCCTGGGCCAGTCACACATGTGTGAGTGACTCACATCCTCATCCATATACCCACTGAGTTGCAATTTCCTGACACTAGTATCTTCCCTTAACATAGTGTTCACTTTTAGTAATTTAGGAGAAACAGTTCCCCCCCTTGCCTATCACCTTCCTTACCATCTTCTCAATGTAAAGCATGAAGAAATGGCAAACAGACTCAGAATTCTTGGACCCTTGATGTACAGTGGCAGGAGGGGGTGGTGGAGAAGGAAGGGAAAAGAGCAGGCATTCATTTTGTAAACAATATTTTATTTTTTACAATTATACATAAAGACAATTTTTAACATTCATTTAAAAAATTTTTGAGTTCCAAATTTTCTCCCTTCCTCACTTCCTTCCCACCTCCCTAAGACAGTAAACAATTTGATATAGGTTATATATGTGCAATCATGTAAAACATTTTTCCATATTAGTCATGTTGTGAAAGAATAAACAGACTAAAAGGAAAAAAAACACAAAAAATAAAGTGAAAATTGTATGCTTTGATCTGCATTCAAATGCCACCACTTCTTTCTCTGGATGTGCATTTTCCATCACAAGTTCTTTGGAATTGTCTAGGATGACTGTGTTGCTGAGAAGACAAATGACTTCATAAATAACTTAGCTCTTCTCAGCAGTACAGTGATCCAAGAAAATGCTCATGGCACTGATCATTGAGCAATGTGGCTGTTACTGTGTACAACGTTCTCCTGGTTCTGCTCACTTCACTCAGCATCAGTCCATACAAGTCTTTCCAGGTTTTTCTGAAGTCCACCTGCTCATCATTTCTTAAAGCACAATAGTATACCATTACATTCATATACCACAACTTGCTCAGCCATTCCCCAATTGATGGGCATTCCCTCATTTCCCAATTTTTGGCCACCACAAAAGGAGCTGCTATAAATATCTTTGTACACGTGGGTCCTTTTCCCTTTTTTGTGATCTTTTTGGGATACTGATCAGGAAGTGATATTGCTGGGTCAAAGGGTATGCCCAGTTTGGTTGTTCTTTAATATTCACTTTAAAAAATTTAGATCCAAATTTTCTCCCTTCCCCTCCCCCCTCCCTAAGACAGTAAGCAATTTGATACAGGTTATATATGTGCAATCAAGTAACCAAATTTCCATATTAGAGAATAGACATTTGTTAGGCACCTATGATGTACTATGCTAAGGGCTTTACAAATATTATCTCATTTGATTTCCTCTTAGCCTCACAACCACCCTGTATGGTATATGCTATTATGATCCCCCTTTTACAGTTAAGGAAACTGAGGCAGATAGAGGTTAAATGACTTATCTAGGATCACACAGCTAGAAATCTTGTGAGGCTAGATTTGAACTCAGGTCTTCCTGACTCCAGGCCCAGCACGATATCCACTGCCCCACCTAGCAGGTGCAAATTGTGCATTGAAGTCATGTAATATGGATATTCCTAATTCCTTACATTTACCATTGAAATGCTATGACTTGAAGCTTAGGAAATACTATCATATCCAACTTCTTATGTGCTGACCCTTACAATCCTCTTAGGTAGGCAGGGGAGAGATTTTAATTTCATTTTATTGAGGTGAAAAATAGGCTTCAGTATGATGAAGTGATTTGCCCAGAGTCATGAGACAAAAGCAAGACTGCTGGCGATTTGTCCCAAACATCACTGGGGTGGCGGGGGCGGGGGGGGGGGAGTCTGGATACCAATGTTCCCCTGCCTGACCCCACAGGGGCTGTGAGGAAAAGCAGGCTGAGGAGAAGGGCAAAGGAGTAGTGTTGAGGCTGGAGGAAGGGCAGAAGAGAAAAATTACAGGTCTAGAGCTGGAAGGTTCCCTAGAGGTCACTTAATTCAACCCTCTTCATTTTGTAGATGAGGTAACTGAGACTCAAAGAGGTTAATTGACTTGCCCAACAAGAGCACACTGCTAGGAAAGGATCAGAAGCACAATTCGAACTCAGGTCCTCTGATTCAAGAGTCAGCACGCATTCTGCTATACCACATTGCTTCCAAACCTAGGCTGTCCACTCCACTAGTAAATGAACTATCCTCTGGGCTCATCATACTTCTCTCCCTGCCTCTCCTCAACTGTTATGGCTGTAGATTAAAAAAAAATCCTTTGTTATGCTTCTGAGCCAGAACTGGGACTAGAACTTGGGCTTCCTGACTCCTTGCTCCAGGACGTTTTCCTCTTTGAAAGCAGGGACCATAGTCCCCAATCATCCCAGCCTCCTTCCTCACCCATCTCTCCCTCCCTGCCCAGATTAGGACACTGGCCCTAAAGGTGACTATGTATGTTCCCTAACAGGTCCTCTGGAGAAAGCTGACTGCACCCTGGAGCTCCCGGACTCTGAAACAGGAAAGGTGACATACACCACAAATCAGGTCTCCTGGGGTTGCTTGGGCCAGAAACCCCCCAACTCTACCCGGGAAGTCCATGTCCTCAACCTGAGGTTTCCAAAGGTGAGCAATCCCTTGACCAGCTGGCTGCTGGGCCAGCTGTTACAGCATGCTCAAGGGAAGTCTCCCCCAACCCGACACCCTCTCTCAACAGTAAATGGAACCTCAACCAGCTGTTCTTGCCAGGCTTTGATGACCCAGAGTGAGGGCATTGCCATGGACCAAGATCTGGTATCTTGGTATCTGACCAAGATATCCACCAGAAAATCATTTGCAAACGATGCAAATTTTGCTCAATTTTCTGAGTGCTATCATTAACTAAATAGGTTTTTTTTGTTGGCTAATTGGGACTGGTAAGGTCAGATGACAGTTAATCAATCAACAAGCAATTATTAAGTGCCTACCATATACCAGGCATTGTGGAATATAAAGACAAGGGAAAAAGTTCTTGCCATTGATAGACAGACAAAAGACAGACAAACAGATGGATGGATGGATGAGTGGATGTATAGATAGATAGTTCAAACAAGCATCTATTATGCACTTACTTTGCATCAGGCACTGTGCTGAGCACTAAGAATACAAATACAAGCAAACAGGACAGTTCCTACCCTCAAGAAGCTTACATTTTAATGGGGGAAGACACAGAAACGTTGATGGGCAGTTTTTGCTCAGTCTCTTAGTCTTGGAGCTATAATGGGCATGTGATGACAAAAATGAAATTGTCCCTGTCCTCAAGGAGCTTACATTTTGTTCATCCATTGCACATCTGCTAAGGTTTCTTGTAGCTCTAAGTCCTATGATCCTCTCTGGGAATCTGGGCAGGGGCCCAGCTGCTTCCCTCCAGGCAAGATACAGAAGGAAGGCTGATTGACCCCAGGTTCCACAGTCTGTGGGAGTCCTTGGTCCCGTGACCTTTCCTGACCTGAGGCCTCCTCTATAGGCCATCCTCCGAAGGAGAGAGAATTTCCTTCATGGAGTCTGGAGATTCCCTAAAGTCCTATAAGTTTTATAGGAGTTTTTCATATGTGACCTAGTTGGACAAAGCCAATAAAAGTCCTTGGTTAGGGGGTCTGAGGGAAGGTGACTTCCCCTCTGGGGTAGGCAGATGAGCCACCAGGAGATGGATGGGCCCTTGGCTGGCCTGGCTTTCCCAGCTCTGATGGTTCTGGGAAGCTTCTTGTTGGGGCAGGGCCAGGAATAAGCAAAGGGGCAGGGTGCCATTAAAGGCGCCCACCGAGTCACATCGTGACCCACAGGAGACAGGAAACCACTGTCGGGTGTCTCATAGGTTCCAGTCGGGCCCCCTGTTCTGAGCTGTGATAAGACAGCCTCAGCATACTCACTCCTCACAAACCCAGGCCAGTTGGACTGATTCAGCTCTTACGTAGATTCCAGCAGTTCCTACTCCTTGAACAACACTGGCTGGAAATGCTGAGATTTGAGGATTTTCTGATTAATGAGACAGTGACTCATTCTTGATGACAATGGCCAATCGTGTCAAAAAACAGATCAGGAAAGGCTCCTTCCAGTCCTTGGGCAAGGGAGTGGGTTGTTCCTGCCACCTCCCCTGGGGCCAACTGGGGGATATGAATAGGGAGGCACTAGTTCTGTGATTTCAGTGGTATAGGGAATTCCCAGGTGAGGATACTCCCTCTACCAATACAGATTGGCATTCTCTGTAACTCTTAGAGTTACATAGAGAGCCAAGAGGTTGAGTGATTTGCCCAGAGTCACACAAACCACTAGTTTAAAAAAAATTATCATTTATTTATTTGTAACATTCATTTAAAAATTTTAAGTACCAAATTCTCTCCCTCTCTCCAGCCCCTCCTTTACCCATTGAGAAGGCAAGCAATGTGATATCAATTATACATGTGAAGTCATGCAAAACATTTCCATATTAGTCATGTTACCAAAAGAAAAATAAAGAAAATGAAAAAATTATGCTTCAATATGCAGTCAGACTTCACCAGTTCTCTCTCTGGAGGTGGATTTTTTCTTCACAAGTCCATCAGAATTCTCTTGGATCATTGTCTTGATCAAAGCAGCTAAATCTTCCACGGTTGATTATCACCACAATATTGCTGTTACTATGTACAGTGTTCTCCTGGTTCTGTTCACTTCACTTTGCATCAATTCATATAAGTCTTCCTAGGTTTTTCTGAACCCATCCCTTTCATCATGTCTTACAGCACAATAGCATTCCAACACAATCATGTATCACAATTCATTCAGCCATTCCCCAATTGATGGGCATCCCCTCAGGGTCCAATTCTTTGCCACCACAGAAAGAGCTGCTATAAGTATTTTTGTACATATAGGTCCTTTTCCTTTTTCCTTTTGATCTCTTTGGGACACAGACCTAGTAGTGATATTGCTGGGTCAAAGGGTATGAAGAGTTGTCTAGCCCTTTGGGCATGGTCCCAAATTGGTCTCCAGAATGGTTGGTTCACAATTCCACCAAGAGAAGAGCCATTAATTATTAGACGCAGGGCCTGAACCCTGGTCTTTCAGGCTTAGAGGTCAGTTCTCTATTACACTATGCTGTTAGCTGATACAATAACAACAACAGTGACAAAAATAATAGCTAAAAATAAGTTAGCATTTATATAGCACATTAAGGTTTGAGAAGTATCTTTACTAATATTATCCCATTTAATCTTTACTACCAGTGTTGTTAAACTAAAACAGAAAGAGGAGCCACTAATTTATGCATAGGGATCCCTGTGGACCACATATTGACTTAGTTTTGTTTTTTTTTCCCCCCTTTGGTTAGGCAATGGGGTTAAGTGACTTGCCCAGGGTCACACAGCTAGTAAGTGTTAGGTGTCTGAGGTCGGATTTGAACTCAGGTCCTCCTGAATCCAGGGCTGGTGCTCTATCCACTGCACCACCTAGCTGCCCCCTTGAGTTAGTTTTAAAATGTGATGTAATCTGTGTTTTATTATATTTTTATTTTGTTAAATATTTCCCAATTTCATTTTATTCTGAAAGAGGCCCATGATTCTGTGTTGGACACCTCTGCTCACACAGCTCTGTGAGGTGCTATTATTGTCTCCATTTTATAGATGAGGAAACTGAAGCAAGCAGAGGTTAAGTGACTTGCCCAGGATCACATACCTAGTAAGTGTCTGAGGCTGGATCTGAACTCAGGTCTTCCTGATGACAGGTGCAATGCTCTATCCACTTTGACATCCCCTTACAGTGTGGGAAGTATTCGGAGCCATTTCCAGTCATCCTGAAAGTGAGGCTGGTGACTTTGCACAGCCCTGCCTTACTTACGTCCAATTCACTAGAAAGTCAAGACGTCACCTTCCTGATGCTGTACAACAACAAACAACAATGTTCCCATACATTACCTCATCCTCATAATGACCCTTGTCGGCAGGAGTGGGGCTGCATATTATTCTGCTGGGCAGCTCGGCAGCACGGTGAATAGAGCCCTGGGCCTGGAGTCAGGAGGACCTGAGTTCAAATCTGGCCTCAGACACTTACTAGCTGGGTGACCCTGGGCAAGTCACTTCACCCTGTTTGCCTCAGTTTCCTCATCTGTAAAATGAGCTGGAGAAGGAAATGGCAAACCACTCCAGTATCTTTGCCAAGAAAATGCCAAATGGGGTCACAGACATGACTGAAAATGACTGAACAACAAAATATTCTACTAGAGCAGGCTGCAGGAGGTAGTGTGGACAGTGCGTAGAGCATTGGACTTAGAGTTAGGGAGACTTAAGTTCCAATTCGGCCTCAGACACTGACTAGCTGGTCAAGTCTCTCAACCTCTCTTGGCCTCAGTTTCCTCACTGATAAAATGAAGGTAATAATAGCACCTACCTCCCAGAGCTCTTGTGAGGACAAAATGAGGTAATATTTGTAGAAGACTTTGCAAACCTTTAAGCATTATTTAAATGCTAGCTATTATCGTTATTATTACTTTTAATGTGTAAGACTACATATGTAAAACACTTTGGAAAACCTTAAAACATTCCATACATGTGAGCTTTTGTGGTTGCTCCCATTTTTTGATGAGAAGACTGAGGCCCAAAGAGGTGTAGTGACTTGCCCGAGGTGGCACAGTGAGTCTGTGGCTTGGCTGGGGCTAGACGGTGATGTTTCTTCCCTGCCTTCTGCGGCCTCTCTGCAGGGTCAGAAGAGGCGGGGATCAGAGTCCCGGCACTGGGTGAGCAGCAGCTTGGTGGTGTCTGGGTCGGGGCTGACAGACAGCCGGCTCCTGACCGGGCTGGGGTGGGAGGGGGCCTGGAAGGGGAGAGGGAGGAGGGCCAGCCGCATGGCTCCGCTCCTAGAAGAATTACTGGAAGCTGCTTTCTATAAGTGGCTCCCAATGTGCAGGGGACGGAGAGACAAAATTCCCTTTCCCGCAGTTGCTGGGTCCATCGACAATGGTCTCTGGAAAACACGGGCAATAAAAATAGAAACGGAGGGCCCACATGGCCCGGGTGGGGGGGAGGGGGGAAGCCTGGGGTCAGGCAGGGGCCTGGAGTCCTGGTCTGGAGTCTGATTTTCCCTTCTGGAAGTCACATGAGCCTCACTGGGATCCCAGAGGGGGGCGGGGGGAGGGTGGTTGGGGGATGGGGGGAGAATTTTTGCTACCAAGCATCTGTTAGAGCTATGCTCAAGAAACCAAGGCCCAGCACACAGAACCAACTTCACTGGCAGTTGTGGTTGTTGTTCAGTTGTTTCAGTAATATTGGAGTCTTCATGACCCCATTTGGGATTTTCTCGGCAAAGATACCAGAGTGCTTTGCCGTTTCTTTCTCCAGTTCATTTTACAGAAGAGGGAACTGGGTTAAGTGACTTGCCCAGGGTCACCCAGCTAGGAAGTGTCTGAAGCCAGATTTGAATTCAGGTCTTCCTGACTCCAAGAGTAAGGGAAGTAAGAGTTATGCCCCAGTTCCTTCATTTCCAGTCCCTCTTTGGCACAGTTTTGAGTTCACTCATCATTCTGTTTTGCCCCTTATGACCAGCCTCCAGCCTGGCAGTGTCCTTCCTAAGATGTGGTACCCCACTCTGCACTCAGTGCCCCATTCCTGAACTTTTCCTGCTCTTAATTCTAATTCCTCTCATGGTGCCATAAAGGTCCTCATTTTTGTCTCTTAGGAAACTGAAAGCTCTGTGTTGGCAGGCCACATGTTATGGACTTCAGTGTATACTGCACAGTACCTGATACCAAGCCAGACACACAAAAAGCCCTAAATAGAAATCTGTTGGTTGGCTTTAATAATAGTTCGCTATACAAAATGGTGCTTTGATCTTGGCAACCCAATGCAAGAGTGAGATAGGAACTAGACCAGGGGCATGCTGGCTCTGGAAAGCCAGTTGTTAAATTTTCAGTGTGAGGATTTATGCCTTAAAAGTCTTCCAATACTACAAATCAGGGCTTGACTTATTGATTTATTATTGATTGTTTTATTAATTTGTTTAGACTTAAGAAAGTGATGAAAAATGTTAATCTGCTAAAATAGATTAAAAGTGTGTCCTTTGTACACTTTTCCCCCGTCTTGGGGAGTCAGTTGTTAAACTGTTACCAGTTTACCAGTTACCAGTTGTTAAACTGTTTACCAGCACACCACTGAACTAAAGATATGATTTCATTGGTATAGGGATTTTAAGGATGTGGAAGTTCCCTCTACCCATGCAGGTTGGCACCTCCTCCGTTGTTTTTCAATTGATTAGTTATGTCAAACTCTTTGTGACCCCATTCGGGGTTTTCTTGGTAAAGGCACTGGAGTGGTTCATCACTTCCTTCTTCAGCTCATTTTACAAATGAGGAAACTGAGGCCAACAGGGTTAAATGACTTGCCCAGGATCACACAGCTAGTAAGTACCTGAGAATGGATTTGAACTCAGGTCCTCCTGACTCCAGGATTGGTGCTCTATCCACTGTACTACCTACCCACCCAATTATTAATAATAATAATAATGAACATTTATATAGCACTTATTATGTGCCAGGCACTGTGCTAAGTGCTTTACAATTATTATCTCATTTGATCCTCACATCAACCCTGGGAGGTAGGTACCCTCATTTTACAATTGAGGAAACAGAAGTTAAGTGACTTGCGCAGGGTCACACAGCTAGTAAGTATCTGAGGTCAGATTTAAACTCAGTTATTCCTAACTCCAGGCCCAGTGCACTATCCACTGCATCCATCTAACTGCACCTTTAAAAAGTTACCTGAAGGGATGGTATCAGAAAAACTTGGAGAGACTTATATAAAGTGATACAAAGTTAAGTGAGCAGAACCAGAACATTGTACACAGTAACAGCCATATTGTATAATGATCAACTGTGAACGACTTAACTGCTCTGGTCAATACAATGATTCATGACAATTCCCAAGGACTCACAATGAAAAATGCTATCCACCTCCAGAGAGAGAACTAGTGAATTCTGAATGCAACTGGAGCATAATTTTTTTACTTTCTTTATTTTTCTTGTTTTGTTTTGTAACGTGGCTAAAGTGGAAATAAGTTTTGCATGATTTCACATGTATAATTAACATAACATAATAACTTAATGTAATTAATATAATTCCTTGCTTTCTCAATGGGGAGGGGGAGGGGCTGGGGAGAGGGAGAGAATTTAGAACTCAAAATTCCAAAAAATGAATGCTAAAAATATTTTTTTGGTTAAGAGTTGCTTAGAGCACTGATAACTTTAGTGACTTGTCCAGCATCACACAGCTAATATGTAGCAGGGAGTAGAGGGGAATAAAATCTACATCTTCCCACTAAGACCAGCTCTCTATCTATTACATCACAGCTACCTCTTATCATATAGGGCGTATGTGATTATCTCCACTTTACAAGTCAGGAAAGTGAGGCTCAGAGCAGTTAAGGAACGTGCAGAAGTCAAGACTTGAACGCAGATCTTCCTGCTTCCAAATCTAGTTGTCTTTCTCTAATCTCATATTTGGCAGCTAGTTGGCTCACTGGACAGAGTGCTGGGCCTGGAGTCAGGAAGGCTCATCTTTCTGAGTTCAAATGTGGCCTCAGACACTTGTTAGCTGTGTGACGCTGGTAAGTCTCTTAACCCTGTTTGCCTCAATTTTCTCATCTGTAACACAAGCTGGAGAAGAAAATGGCAAACCACTCCACTATCTTTGCCAAGAAAACCCCAAATGGGGTCACAAAAAATTGAACACAACTGAAATAACTGAACAACAAAAAAATCTCATGTAATTGCCAAATGGATTCTCATGTTCCAGTCTCACTTCACCAGGCTACACTGGGTATTACAGCTTCTGAGATTACCTCAGTTCATGCTCAGATTTTTACTAGTGGAGTGACCTGAGACCTTCCAATTGATTCTCTAATGATTCCTAGGACAAAGCAGGGATCAAGGATACCTAGATTGTGCAGGAAATCATTGCATCTTCCTAACGCAAACACTGCACATTACACATTTATCGAAGCAAGATCTGGTTATAATGAATACCCAAAGCAGCCCCCAAAAGTCTGAAGACAGTGTAGAAAAAAGCTAGAGCATCATCTCCCTTTGTTTCCACTTCTGAGGGGGTTTGTGGGCTGGTTCTGTATATGTTCATGTATTCATTCAACAAGCATTAAGCACCTACTGTATGCAAGGCTCTGTACCTTGATGCAGTAGAAACAAAGCAAAAAAAAGAAAGCCCCCAACCTATGTACACACATATGCATATGTGTATGTAAATGCATATATACCCACACACGAATAATTATTTATGTGTATATAATACACATGTATAATTACATGCATGTACACCATACAAACAGGCTTCAAACCATGGCTATATGATATTTGTACACACATGTACACACGTGTATATGTATGTGCACATGTATGTGTCTATACGGGTGCATGTATGTACATATGTGTATATTGGGTCCATACAGGTGTATATATTTTGGTATATGTGCACATGCAGGTATATTATATATATGTGTGTGTGTGTGTGTGTGTGTGTGTGCATTGTGATGCATATATACACATCTTTTTTAGGACCAGTTAAAGGGGTCACCTTATTCTCCACCATAGGGTCACAGGATTTGGAAGGGAATTTAGGAATCATCTAGTCTAATCCCCCTCAGCTTATCTTTAAATGCATTTTCTTGATGCCTTCCGTCTTCATATCACAACCATTTCAATGCCTCCCTTCAGATTAACCCTCCCTTTGTGAAGAAGAAAAAGAATTCAGCAAAAACATCCCAAGCAGCGCCCACACCCAACGCTCTATGCAGTATTCTGTGCTGGGCATCCCCTGCCTGTCTACCCGGAGCTCCCTGTCCCACCCCTGCCATTTGATATATGGTCACACAGGAAATGAGGGGCAAAGTCAGTTTTTCTGACTCCAAGTCCAATGTAGTCTCCGGTACTCTGCCTCCTTTAGACGGTTCAGCTAACTGCAGTGCCAGGGGCATAGTGAGGGAAGGGGTTGGGAATCCATCCCCAGAAATCAGAGGGACAGTCTCTCACTGTATGCTCAGAACAGCTAACTTTGGTTGCCATTTGAGCTCTGACTGCTGTCTTTGTCTCTGTCTCTCTGTCTATCTCTTTTTTCCCAGGATTTCTCAGAATTGAAGCTAACCATTCAGGTCAGCAAGGGGAATGTCCCACAGCCCCGAGATGTCCATGTCATCCTCAATGTCCAGGGTTACGTTAACCTCTTGCTGCAGGCCCCAGGAATTCCAGTCAGCCTTTCCTTGGTAAGGGCATTGGGCAAGAGTCGTGGGAGGTTTGGCAAGAGGGACAGGTATGTCCCATCTGGACAGATGCAGGGAGGAAGTATTGGCTGTAGCCTTGACTAAGGTATATCTCTATGTCCCTGGGTCTCTGTCTTATTATTCACTGTCCCAAATCTTTTCATACTCTTCTATTTTTTTTTTTGCTCCCAGGAAAGCAAATACCATAATATTGGCCTGACCTACCTTATAGAGCCAGATCAAATGAGATTATAGTTCATATGATCGTTAATTCCCTTTGTGACCTTGAACAAAGCATATTCCCTTCCGGGGAGTCAGTTTATTCACTTGTCAAATGAGGTTGGATTAGATTAGGAGGTTCTTAACCTTTTTTTTTTTTTGGTGTCATGGACCCATGGCAATATGGTGAAACCTATGGATTCCTCAGAATAACGTTTTATTTATTTAATATGTATATATTATTATAATTTTATATGTTAATATATTGTAATAATATTATAAATAATAATATCATTTATTTAATATTTTTAGATGCATCAAATAAAATACATAGGATTAAAAAGGAAACCAGTTATAATGAAATACAGTTATCAAACTTGTTTAAAAAAACAAATTTCCATACTCCAAATTAAGAACCCCTGGACCAGATGCATTCAATGTCCCAGTGAGGTGATTCTGTAAAATTCTAAGCAAGACATGAGAGTTTTTGAAAAGGTTAAAAAGCACAGCACAAATGGGAAAGATTATTATTGTCTCTCCAAATAGTGACTGCTAGGGCTCCTTTTCACACAAACTGAATTTAGTTAGAGATTCCCCAAACCCCTCACTCTCATTTCATCCTTGGTTAGACCCTCCAATACCAGCTCTAGACTTAGCCCTTGGGGGTGGGTTGGGGAGGAAGGGTGAAAGGAAAAAGGAGAAAAAGTCATAAGAGCATAGACTCAAAGAATCTCAGGATACCAGTGTTAAAAATGGGCGTTAAAAGTCATTTAGTCCAACACTTCACCCAGGACAAGAATGCTCTCTGCAGCATCTCTGACTGGTCATCCAGTGTCTGCTTAAACCTCCCATGGAGGTTCATTCCACAAAGGCAGCACATTCTGTTGTTGGACAGCTCTACACTAATAAATCAATCAACAAGCATTATTTAAATCACTTACTATGTGCCTGACACTATACCATATGCTGGGAATACAAAGACAACAGAAAAGAAAAACATTCCCTGCCCTCAAGAAGCTTACATTCTAATAAAAACTAACATTTATGTAACATTGTAAGGTTTACAGAGCACCTGATAAACATTATCTCATTTGAGCCTCATAACAATCTTCTTATGAAGTAGATGCTCTACAGGTGTTGTTATCCCCATTCTACAGTTGAGGAAACTGAGATCCAGTGAAGTTTAGTAATTTGTCCTTAATCACATTAGCCCATAAGCATCAGAGGCAGAATTGAAAATTGACTGATTCCAAATTCAATGCTCTTTCCACTAGACCAAAGCTGCCCTTGGGGACCAATTAATCTAATAGGGGAAACTGTGGAAAACACACTCAGAAGACACAAGATACACACCCAGGAGGCACATAAACAGGGGGACTGAGGAACAGCTGGCTCAGACTCTGAAGCCAAGTGCTGAGGGAGAGTCTGGAAGAACTGGACAGAACCCCAGTCTCTGTCCTCCAGGCTCAGTGAAACTCCCTGTCTCCCACAGCTAAAATTGCTACCCCCTGCCAACAGATATTAGCAGCTATTGTTCTCAGAAGAAACAACATAAGATAGGAGGAGAGAGAGACAGAGATGCAGAGACAGAGACAGAGAGACAGAGAGAGATGAGAGACGGAGAAAGTAGAAAGACATAAAAAAACAAACAGAGAGAAAGAAGCATAGCAGGGAAAGATGATATGGGCCAGGAAGAGAAGGAGGAAAAGACAGAAAAACCATAGGAAAAATGGGAAGAAAGGCTGAAAGGGGTCAGAGACAGATTGAAAGGTATGTGTTCAGGAGTGGGAGGGGGAATCAGACAGTAAATGGCAAATCAGAGTCTGTTATCTTTCACCAGACAGGTAAAGTCCTGTAGTTTGACCCCATCATCCCATCATATTAGATGGGGAGACTGAAGCCCAGATCTGGGCATGGACTTGTTCAAGGTCACTCCATGGCAGAGACAGAACTAGACCCCAGGGCTCTTAACTGGGTGCTTTTTGCCAAAGCTTTTTGGGACATGTGGAGCTACACACTCCCTTGCCTTAGCCCTCCCTGGGCAATTTCCTTGCCTGCTGGCAGCCTGCCCCTGCCCTGGTGAGTGATCTGAGTCCTGAGCCAGCAGGGACCCGAGCATGACGCAGACGACATAAGAAAGGGCCTGAAGCCCAGGGCAGGAAGGTGATAGCTGACTCTGGCTCCAGCTGGGGCCATGGGGCCTGGTGCCCAGGGGAGGGGAGCAGCCAAACGCCTTCCTCTTGGTGGCTAATAATACCCTGGACAGAGAGACAATGGCGGGAGCAGTGACTACTATCCGATGTAACACGTGGCACTCGACCAGGGCCCTGAGCATCACCTCTGAGAGCCGCTTCTTTAGCTGTCCGACTGAAAAAGGACAGGGCCACACAACCAAGGTCTCCCCATGACAGGTCCCCCTCAGCTTCCTCTCTACCCTTGGCCTTGATCCAATGTAACAGATGTGGGGGCTGTAAGGGTGAGGGTTAAGGAGAAACCCCAAGGCAAACCTTCAAAAGGGATGGATACACTGTATGGGGCTTGCCTATCTCTTTGTGGACCAGAGGACTTGAGTATGAGAACTCCCTGCTCCCCTTCTATAAATCAGAAAATGCTAAGACCCCTAGAGTCTGGGTGGGGGGGGGAGGAGAAGTTAGGGCAAGTGGTCAAAGATGAGAGAGGGCAGAAATTAAGGGAAGCAGGTCCATTTGGGAGATAGGGGAATCTAGACATAGCCCTACAACCAGAAGGAGCCTCCAGAAGTCATCCAATCCATCTCTGCTTCCAAACCGCCTCAGACACTTGTCCCTCTGTCCTCATTTTTAAAGCATAGCTCCTCAGTCTGTTGTTTGACCCCCTTCATTTCCTCTTGCTCATCCCTCATTGGGGGGCGGTTCTGAAGGCCCTTAAGATTCTGATCTAGCTGCCCCTCAGCTGTCCCTCCTCAGGTGAAATTCTTCCTTTTCTAAATCTCATTCATCCTGCTTAAGAGGGCAGGCCCCTCCATGAGAGGCCACTGCTGCCTCTGAACTCTTGCTGTACTTCTGTCCATACCACTTAGAGAGCATTTGGGCTGCTTCTGTCTGGCATTGTTCTTTTCTTAGCTCTCCAAGTAGACAGGAAGCTCCCCATAGGCAAGGACTTTCCTTTCTCTGGCTCTCCCATGGCAGCTAGCACAAGGCTCTCCCAATGGGCAGACAGTAGGTGCTCTGGAAATGAGTATCGAAGGATTGAAAGAGCCTCTCCCCCCTTAGCCGTCCTGCTAATCTCTCCCTCTCCCATTTCATCCTAGGCCCTAGCCCCTACAGAGTTGGGGAATAGGGATGGGAAAGGGGGCTGGAGAGGTTCATCAAAGATACATTTCAGGGCCCTTCAGAGAGGGTTCAAGGCTCAGGGCCATCCCTAAATTCCATCCCATAACATTCATATGAGGTCAGGTTAAAATGGACACTCAGAGCCTTTTAAAGGCGGGGAAGAAAGTCCCAGGGAGCAGTTTGGGAAGTGGGGTTGAAAAGGACAAGGTCAGACTCTTCACTTTGGTGATGGGATGTTATGAACTGGTTGTATATTGTCCAGGGATGTGCTGGTGAATGTTTAACAATTGACTTTCCCTTGAAGACACACTTTTAAGTTTCATAATATTAACATTTTCTCCAACACTTTCTTAAGTCTGGACAATCAACAAAACAATAAAGCAAGCCCTGATTTGTAGCTTTTTCTGATTTCCCAGGTGTCAACAGTCACACTGAAAATTTAACAATTGGCTCTCTGGTTCAAGCTGGCTCCAGAACACCCCTGTTTGTCCTCCACCCCATCTGCTGCCTCTGATTTACAGACCAGTTGTCTGGTCCCCTCAGCAGAGCTGGAACTGACAGGTTTCCTTGCCCCAGGGTAAATTTCACAAAACATGTTCAGGAAAGCAGGATAGAAAAGTACCTACAACTTTTTAATGTAGGTGGATGTCCTGCAAGGGACCAGGGCCTGTATCTGTCCCCGTAGAGCCAAAAAATGCCCTGACTCCATGGGTAGTGCTCCAATCCAGCTCCTGCTGCATTAAGACACATTTAGCTGAGGGTGAGCCACAGACCCTGACACATAGAAAGACTACTCCCAAGCAGAGGAGCTCACATGACTTGTGTTTTTTTTTTTTAATATGAGGCAATTGGGGTTAAGTGACTTGCCCAGAGTCACACAGCTAGTGAGTGTCAAGTATCTGAGAGCAGATTTGAACTCATGTCCTCCTGAGTCCAGGGCCAGTGTGCTATCTACTGCACACCTAGCTGCCCCAAGGAGCTCACATGGAGACCACAATGTGGCAGCCCCTGGAGAAGAAACCTATCTGGTAGCTTCCAATTTTTATTAATCATTCTTGCTAACTAGCTGCTAGGTTCAGTTGTTTCTACCTTGCTGAAAGAGCTATCAGTACCTTCTAAATTTTTATGCCTTGGGTCAAACTCTACTCACCTCACCCTAGGTCTGGCTCTGCTTTTCTCAGTATTGACAGCCTTTCCACAGAATACCTCTGCTTAGAAGAACAACTTTCTGAGAATTTCCCTCATCTCCTTAGGATCCTACAAAGGTCTTCTTAAAAGAAGCGTATGTCGACTACAGTGTCTTACCAGACTTCTCCAGAAAGGAAGAGCTCCTTAACTGGGCCCAGAGGACACATGGCGACCTTACCTCCTATGCAGAGATGGATGACCCCCAGAGCATCATCCTCCACGTGGGTCAAGGTCAGCTTCCTCAAGAGAGGGGCCTCTTTGAGGCACAATCTTCTTTTCCTCCAACACTCACCCCCTTTTCTTGTAGCAGTGCTAAGAGACACTGCTAAAGACCTTAGAAACTGTCTTCTTCAACACTATCTCTCCCCATCCCCAAATTGTTTTTTCAAGGATGAAGGAAACTGGGACCTGGAAAAAAGGCGAAGCAACTTGCTGAAAGTTAATATTATGGCTGCAGTGTGGTGGCAGAGGGAGATGCTCTATTTTTCTTCTTCTTGACATGAATAATACCATTTTAGAGTAACTTCCATTTCTTTAAAATGTGTTAAACAGTCACATCTGACCTTCATGTTTACCTATGGCTCAGAAGACAGAGTCTACCCTATCTCAGACCCTTGAAGACAATATCAGGCTGGCAGATTAGAAAGTCTTTGTAGCCACTCCCTTGGAAACCCAACAAACTGTCCCCAAGACCAATGATTGTCCCATTGTGAACCAGCATGACCAAGCGTGTTTTGTCCAAGTACTTGTAGGAAATGGTTCATCGTCAGAGGCCTTCTTGACCCATAGAGACACACTTCTGTATGTGCCAACTGTTGCTTCTCCTGGCCCAGGCTTGTAGTTTAGTGTATGGAATAAACTTTTTTTTTACTGACGTATTCTGAATTGCACTAAAGTAGGTCTCTTTGCCCTGTAATCAGAAAGAACAGAGGAAGTGGCAGAGCCACAGCTTGGCTGAATCCAACTCTTCTGATTCTTGATCCAGTGTCCATGTCAGCAGAGTTCATGATGTCAGCACTCTCTAGGACTCCACACTCCAGCAGCCTCCCTGATGCAAAGCATAGAAATTGCAAAGCCCTTGTAGATATTTTAGAATAAACCCTTATCTTGCAGGTGAAGACACTAAAATCAACAGAGGTAAAAATGATTTGGTCAAGTTATATAGCAAGTTAGTAGCAGGGCCATGATTAGAACCCAGGTCTTCAGACTCTTTGTCAAGGACTCTTGACATTATTGTCTGAAGGGCAAGACTTTCACTGACTGGCCCTCCAACCATTCTTGAGGTTCTTGGAGTTTCCTTAATGCTGGTAGCTGAGCTGGATCAGAAGATCTGTGCTCCTTTGGGAGGTCCTGAGCCCATTGTGGGTATGTCAGAGGCAGCTGAGCATGGCCGGTTGGATGCCTTGTCAACCCTATTTTGTCTATCAACTCCCCAGCCCTAGCATCTACATTCCCATGTGTCCCGGAGTCTAACTTCGACATGGGCAACCACCTAACATGGAAGGCCATTGCACCAGGGGTCAGAGGCTGCCGCTTCAGCAAGGGGCTGGGCAAGAAAGTGGCTCACATTCTGAAGGTCACACAGGGTTCCTCAAGCAGGTAATGTAGCTGACCCAGGGGCCCCAACCTTGTGCCCCAGTCTGGTCAGGGTTGCAAGTACCCCTTTCGTCTCCCTGGAGTTCTTCCTGTGTGTCCATGGTAGCATTTGTTGCACCTAGGTCCAATACCTCTGCCAGTGACTATACTCCTCCTTTATCAGCTTGTCACAGCCTGCACCCATCCCCTGGGGTTGCTCCTTTTCCAACTTGTTCACATATGATTTCTGTCACCAACCTTCATGGAATGGTCCCATTGCCCAATTCCCAATGGCAGGACAAATTCTCCCAGGAGTTCTCTTCTCCTTATGCTTAATTACATGGGTATTGGGGTGGGGGTTCTTGTAGCCCTCAGACAGTGGAGGTGAAGATGGACTTGAGCTGCCCTTCGGGGAATCTGGCTCCCACACTGGAGACTGTGCTGATCCTGCAGGGACCTCCCAATGTCAATTGGCTGATTGACTCCAACCACAATGTGCAGATCGGGGTGAGCCCAGGTTCCTACTCCCTCCTTCCTCTGCCTTCCCCTCACCTAGGGATGGGGGTGATAACTCCTAGATACCCCATGTGGATAAGGTCAATTATTTTAGCCAACTCTCAGTTTTCCCCAGACAGCTTATCCACTTTGGGGGAGGTCATTGAGTTAAAGACTATTAGAATTGGAAGGGCTGTGGAAAGATGCATTTGCATGAGTTAGGATAAGGAGCTCTGGGAGAGAAGGAATGGAGGGTCCCCAGTTCTTTATGGCTAAAGGTAAAAAGGAAGAAAATGGTTTTCACTATACAGTGCTCATTTCTCTTCTCTCTCTCTTTCCTACCTTTGCTCTTTTCTGCATCTGCCTTTCCATCTTCCCTTGATCTCTTTCTCCTGCATCTTTTCTCCCTTCATCTTTGCTTTTTCCTTTCTTCCCCCTTTTCTCTCTCAATTCCTGCTTTCCTTCTTCCCCATCACCCCTTGTCTGTCTTTCTCTGTTTCTCTCTCCCTACCTCAGACCACAGGTGAATACTCCTTCAAGATCTTTCCTGACAAGAGCATCCCTGGTTCCATCCTCTCTGACACTATCCAGGGACTACTTCATGAGGCCCAGAGGAAGTTCAATGCTAGCATCATCGCCTCCTACGTGGAGATTCCACCTACCAGCCACATTGCCCTATGGGCCCCTAGTTGTGGTGAGACCCCCCACTCTAAGACTTCTTGATCCCTTATGGGAACCTCTTGGGTCTTCCCCAAAACTCAGCCATGATCCAGAACCTTGAGGGGTACATACAGCCTTATAGTCTGGACTGGTCAGAAGGCCTTGGTTTTAGTCCTGATTCTTCTCTTAACTTACTGCATGTCTTTGAACTAATCTCTTTGGGTTTTAGCTTCCATGACTATAAAACTATAAAGTCTCTACCTGTCCTTCTGGCTCCAGTGTCCCATGAATCCACCCTTTGTGGAGTAACCAGGTGGAAGTTGGGTTGGGAAAAAGTTGGAAATGTTGGGCTCCTGGCCCTAATCTCCTGATTTTTTCTACAGCTCCCAAGATAGAAACCTCACCTTCTCCAGTGCTGACAACCCCACCCATGATGTCTTGTTATTTGCCTCTGCTGAGTTCCCTGCTTTTGCCCCAGTGCTCCCCAGACAGCATGACACTGGTGTTAAAGAAGGAATTTATCATGGTATGGGCAAGTATTGGGGCAGGGGAGGGGAGGGGAGGACCTGCAAAGAGTATGGAAGGCAGAGTTAGGGTCTGAGACTGATCTGGAGACGTTGAAGAAACAGGTCGAATCCAGGAATGCTTGGATTGGGCTCTGTAGCAAGATGACAAACACATCCTACTCAAATGTCTGTCTCCTCCATGGAATCTTCCTTGATTTACCCTTCCAGGAATGACCTTCTTCAGGCCTTACATAACAATTTATTTTGCACCTCTATAATGCACTCACCACTGAATATCACATATTATAGTTATGTGTTTCTATCTTACCCTCCAACTATACTTTAAATTCCATGTCTTATCACGTAGGTGTTGTCTTCTCCAAAAGGATGAAAGCTCTTAGAAGGTAGAAAGTGTTTTTATTTGTTGTCTTTGGATCCTCATGCTTAGTACATAGTAGGCACTTAATAAATGTTTGTGGTTTATCAAAACTTAAACTCTCCCCATTACAGTGCTTTGCACAAAAATGTTTGATGAAGGAATGAATGAAGACTATTCACAAAACAACACCCTGGGCCTCCATTTCCTTCTCTATAAAATGCAGGAATTAAATCTGATCTCTGAGGCTGCTTCCAGCTTTGACATTCTCCAGTTTCATGATTTAGCGAGTTATGTGGGTCTCCCCATCCTGACAGCTCCCTGCTCCTTCCCAGGTCCTGAACTGTCAGATCAACCATCTCTCCTTCCGGGACCCCACTTGCCAGTCACAAGAGAAAGATAACCAGCTAGTCTTGAGCAGTACCTTCTATGGGTGTGGTATGAATGTGAAGAAAGGTGTCATTTTAAACAACGAGGTGAGTTGAAGCTTGAGCCTTAAACCAATCTCCCAGCTAAGAGCCACTCCCATGGATCCGCCATCCTTTTAAGACTGACAATTCCAGGCTGTTCCAATTCTTGAGGTCTTTTAACTGGTCTTCAAGTTGCCTCTTCAAGTCTCAAGGGTTCCCTTACATTTTGGATATCCTAGACTGGATGAGTGACTGTTTCTGGCTTGCCACTAGCTCACTTTATGCCTATGGTTGGGCAGTTAACTTGCCCTACCTCACCAGCCCTGTTTTTCCCTCTGTAAAATGAGCAGATTGAATTAGGCTCTCTTCAAGGTCTTGGTCAGCTCTGACATTGTGTTCTAGTTCTTGATTTCTGTTCCCCCAGGTGGCTGTAACCTTGGCCTCCAGCTCTGTTCCAATTCTGGTGAGTAGGAACTCTCTTCCCTTTCTCTCCTCCTTCCCTCACTTAGATTCCTGTGTTTTAATCCATATTCTCTAGTCTAAAACTTGGCATTCCTTAGTTCCCTCACTGACTGCCAAGGGTGGGGGGTAAGGGAAGTGGGGCATGACTGATCTCTCCTGCCCACCAGTACATACTGAGTCAGCAGAGTAACAGAGTCAACTGTGTTCTGGGGTAGGCGGGGGTTCCTTGTGTCTAACTTGCTGTTGTAACCCAGGTTGTTTCATTGCTCAGGATGTTTCCATATCTGTAGAATAAGAAAATTCATCCACACAATGGTCCATCACGTTCCTTGGCCTAGGGTGGGACAACCCCTAAAACACTCTCCTAACCAATGTGCCCATTACCTTGAATGAGTTTGTCACACATGGAATCTCTCTGATCTCCTTCCTGAAGTAACTGAGAACCATGTGCCTGCCTCCCTGTTCCTTACAGATAGAGGTTGAGTGTCTTAACACCAGTGCCTTCTCTGTCCACATGGATGCCTATAGCAGCCAGCAATTCCTTCGAACCTCCAGCACCATTGAGCTGGGACAACGGGTCTATGTACAGGTACAGGTCTTTCTGCCTCCACCACCACTGCCCAAGTCCTCAGGAGTGCTACCCACTTAAGAGACAGAATGAAAGGGGGAGGCCCCAGGGTTCCACATCTCTAGTCATTGCCCTGCCCCACCCGAAGGCTGGTCTTGGACCAAGGGATCCATCCTTCTTGCTGTTCTGAGACACTCTTTCCACAGGTGATAGTGACCCCAGCAATTGAAGAGCTCACTGCACACCTGGACAGCTGCTCCCTGGACCTGGGGCCAGAGGCTGACCCTGTGGAACTAATCCATGACCAGATGGCCAAGAGCCCCCGGGTGAACTTCCTGGCAGCAGACTCCAACAGGATCCAATTCAGCTTCCTTCTCCGGGGTCACATGGTGCCCACACCGATGGCCGCCACACTTAGCTGTAACGTAGGACTGACCCTCCAGAACAAACACGAGGTAAGGGCTCTGGGGCCCTCTGGGAAAGGAAAAGGGCCCTCTGGAAAGGAAAGAGATCTTGTGGTAGCTGTTATCTGGCTAGCTGTAATCAGCACATAGCAATACAATGAACACTGTGTGCAGTGTTTAGAGATAGCCAGTGGCACATTTGATATGGTGCTAGATTTCAGGAAGACCTGAGTTCAAATCTTCCTTCGTATACTTTCTAGCTGTGTGACTCTAAGTCTCTTAACTGCTCTCAGCCTCAGTTTCTTCATCTGTAAAATGGGGATAATAATAACACTCACCCCACAGGGTTGTTGTGAACATCAAGTGAGATAAAATACATAACATGCATTGTAATTGTTGTTGTTCGGTCTTTCAATCATGTCTGACTCTTCATGACCCCATTTGGGATTTTCTTGGCAGAGATATTAGAGTGGTAGCATTTCTTTCTCCAGCTCATTTTACAGATGAGGAACCAAGGCAGAGTTAAGTGACTTGCCCAGGATCACACAGCTAGGAAGAGTCTGAGGCCAGATTTGAACTCAGGAAGATAAGAATTGCTACATAAAATGCTAGCAATATCATTTATTCAAGGAGTTTGCTATCAAACATCAACACAGACACCTCTATTTCACAATATCATATGATACGTGCTTTAAGTCTCAAAGTTGTGGAAACCTACTACGTGCTAGATGCCATGGGGGTACAACAGTACCCAAGACATGGTCCCTTCCCTCAAGGAGTTTGCAGTCTAGTTGGGGAGATAGAATACACACAAAGGTTACTAATGTAAACAAACACCAGGCTGGATGTGTAAATTGGGAGGTTCATGGTATGTCTAGTAACTGCTCTGGAGGTTGGGAGTTAGGGGACATTACTGCGAACCAGAGTGACCAGGAGAGGTGGCATGAATTGAAACTTGAAGAATGGGGTACAGTTGAGCTGTGTGGAGGTATCTAAGATACAGAGCTACAAAATGCTATCCTTTCTTCCTGCGCCCTAGACCAAGACTCTCGTTAAGACCTCTATGAAGTTAAACATCAGCAATCCCATACCAACAAGTGAGTAGAATTTTGACCTTTTACCCCTCCAGGAGTTAAGAGATGGGTAGAAGGTTTCTGAGGCTGAGATCTGGGCACCCTCAAATGGAAATCCAGACTGGCAGCATGTGGGGAAGGCGACATTAGCCCAGGACTGTGTCTGGGAGCTGTGGGACTCATGAAAGGCCAGAAGGGAGGAGAAACTCAAAGATAAGCCCTGAGAAGAGAAACTGGAGCACAGCCCAGGTGCCCCAGGCCCATCAGATTGAAGAAGACCAGAGAACTATTCATAACATGCTAGGGCTGGAGGCAAGCTCAGATCATCTATCTTGCACTGTGTTTGTACTGTTAGTGTTGCTAAGCAGGGAAAAAACCTCTTCCCTTGAGATGGCCGCAGCCTCGACTTTTGGCTTCACCTCTGAGCTCTTCTATACAGGACACTCTCCTGGGAGTGGGGCAGAAGGGGATGGAGCATTCCTCTGGGGGACCGGTCAAACTGGCAAGTAGCTCTTCTTGGCCCGGCTGGCTTCCTACAGATGAGGGCTCCAGAGAGTGGCTGCTACCCTGGAGAGTGTGGCTTGGTTTCCTTCCTTTCTGGAACGTGCCTGGGACACATCTCTCCCCTTCCTAGTAGCCCCCAGAATGGATTACTCTCCCCCCTTCTTTCCCCCTTGGCTTCCGGCCTCTGTTTGCTCACCTCCCTGAAGACCCCTGTCCCCAGTGAGCAGGAAGAGTCGCTGACCCTGGGGTCGGCACTGATCCTCCCCCTCTCCCTCCTCCCCTCCCCTTTAAGGCCAGAGCCAACATTCCCTAGAAAGGACCCAGGTGTCCAGGAAAGAGAGGAAGGGCCTTTGCTACCTTAGCGTCTTGGCTTCTTCAGAAGAGCTAGGAGACTTGGTTACACCTTTTGGAGAACTGGTAGTTCCAAGCACTGTTGGGGAGAAGGGTTGGCTCTCAGTTTTAAGAGAAATAGAGGGAAACCAGAAGTGCCACGAAATATGAAAATCACAATAGCTCTAGGGTTAAACTTCGGGTGAATATTCTGCAGATTTAGTCAGGGAGGGACAACTTCCACCATAAAGACTGAGCACAGCCCAAGGACAGCTGATCACTATGTTAGGTGGGCCTGTGGAAGACTTAACCACAAAACCTGACCTTGTGAAGTGCAGCACGCTGCTACCGTACCACAAAGCCCTTAGGGTTAGCCTGGGATGTATCACACACATCTCCCCCTCCCCAACTTCCCACTGCCCATGATCTCAAGACTGAGGAAATAGATTCTCCTTCTGGAAAAGGATAGGGGGCCCAGAGCTAGAACATAATGCCAAAAAAATTTATCACTGACATGAAAAACCCTCAGGGATCAGGTCTGGACAATGTCCAGAGACATTGTTCCTTGAAGGAAACAAGGCCTGTGGATATCTGGCTATAAAGGCCCGGGTTGTTTAGAGGCTCAGAGACAAGAGGGTGAGACTGAAGGCTCTTTGGGGACCTGTTATTGATCATTCCCAGTGACTCAAAACCCAATGGACTAAAACACCATTGGTGAGAAAAATGTTAGGGCGGGAGAATTACGACAGGTTAGCCCCGCCTAGACACCAGGGAATAGCCATGGACTCTGGGCAACGAATGGGGTTGGGTCTGACCTGCCCAAGGCTTTGCTTGGGATTCAGAGGGACCTGAAGGGGTAAGGAGAGGTTGGAGGCCCTGCAGAATGACACGGAACCTTCTTCTGATCTGCCACTTCTTATCTCCTGCTAGCCCAAGGCCTGGGCATGCCTGCTGTCCTGGGAATCACATTTGGAGCCTTCATCATTGGAGCCCTGCTCACTGCTGCCCTCTGGTACATCTACTCCCATACCCGTGAGTACCCTCCTCCCTCTTGACCAGCATCCCCTCCCCTTCCCAAAACAGATGGGTGAGCCTTAGGCCTCCAGACTGGGCATCTGGGCCCTATGCTGAGCTAGGAATCCTACTGTTCAAGTTTTCTCCTTCAGCCTTCCGTGGCTAATGAGGGAGCACCCTAAGGGAGGGTGGGGGATCAGTTATCTCACTCTCCCACGGAAACCAGTCTAGGGAGTTATTAGGATGGGAGGGGGAGGTTGGGAGAGGAGTCAGTTGGTTTGGAACTCACTGCAGGAGGTGGGGTGGTTTATCACCACTCCAACCACCGGCCCCCACCCAGGTCCTCCAGGCAAAAGGCAGCCAGTGATGGCCACAGGGCCAGCCTCCGAGAGCAGCAGCACCAACCACAGCATTGGCAGCACTCAGAGCACGCCCTGCTCCACCAGCAGCATGGCATAACCCACCCTAACTCACCCCCACTGGCTCAGCTTGTACCATCTTCAGCCTGAGAAGGCTCACTTGGCACCCTCTACCTGGACCATGTCTCCAAATTCCAGGAACCGTGCCTGCATTTTTCTACACTCTGGACTTTTGAAGAGTCATCCTGGGTCCAGCCTCTTTGGACCAAAGATGGTTGAGGGGTGTGGGGGTGGAAGGTAAGGCCAGGGAGTCATCATGAGCCTGACACCCTCAGAGACAAACTACACCCCCTACACACACCCAAGAGCAGAAATGGGTGTTGGCAGCGCCTTCAGGAGAGACTGGCACAGCTGATAACCAGGAGTCTGGGCCCCAGACTCTTACACATTCAATGAATGGTTGTGTCCACCCAAACCCCAGCCCTAAAGACAATCCTGTCCCAGAGCTTGATGAGTCACAGCTTCAGGTCATGGACAGAACCTCTTCCTCCACCTCTCTCAAGATGGGTCCCATCTCAAATCACCTTGAGTTCATCACTGGGAATCTGGGTTCCAAAAGACCACCTCTCAACCGGTCGTGAAGTTTCAGGGGTGAGAGGCATACTTCCTGAGCTGTATATATGCCTCACGGTATTTCTATGTTATTGTATAAATGTATGTTATTTTAATATTGGTCCAGAGTTTTTTGAGCTCTGGAGAGTTTGCAGATAAAAGGGAATGAGTGAATTTTATACCAAGAACTTGGCCTCCCCACTTCACAACGGTCCCCAAGGTTGTTTAAGGGATTGGGAGAGAGATCAAAGCTGAATCCTGTAGCTAGCTATGTGGCACAGGCTGGGGCCAGCTCCTCTCCCTTCTTCCCCATTTGGATTTGTCCCAAAGCACTCCCTAGCTCACAGCCCCCCAGGACGTGTTCCCTCTGCCACCAGTCAAAGCCTTAAGCTCCCCCAGATTCTCCTCCCATCTTTCTTCTCTGGCTGCTGCAGCCACAGACAATTCACCCATGGGCCCCAGCACCCACCTGCCCCAGGCCCTCCAGGGGGAACACAGCTCAGAAGCGGGGCTGCACCCGGGGCTAGCCAAAGGGACTCCTGACCAGTAGTGGTCTCCATTCTATATATGCCAGCAAGAAAAATGACTGAGGGACAAGTCTTTGTTGCCCCTCCCTTGGCCACAAGGCAACAGAGGATGGAGATAACGAGTGAGCTTCTCCTCGGGCCAAGGGATGACTGGATCCCGAAGCCACAGGGCCCCATCCTCTGCTCTCACTGCTGCCATGCTGGAAGACGACTTCTAGGAAAGCAACAGCTTTTACCTGCATGCATGCATACATACATACGTATATACATACATACATACATACGTATATACATACATACATACATGCATAAAGAGCCGTAAACGGCCCCCTCACCATAACATAAGGGCACTTTACACTTTATAAATCCCTTCGATCCCAACAGCCTAGGGAAGGAAGTCAGCAGTATCATCGCCCTTTCACACATGGGGAAGACTAAGCAAAGTCCAGCAGCTTGTCCCACACATGGCTTGTAACTTGGGGAGCCAGGATTTGGACCCACGGTCTTCTCACTCCATATACTAACTGCAGTTGGCATTTATCCAGTGCTTTCAAGTTTGCAGAGAAATTTACAATTAGTATTTCATTTGATCCTCACAACAAACCTGGGAGGTAGGTGCTATTAGCCTCATTTTACAGATGAGGAAACTGAGGCAAGAAGGGATCAAGTGTCTTGCCCAGGGTCACTCAGCTTTATTAAGTGCCTGAGGGAGGATTTGAACCCAAGTTTTTTTAATTTCACCTCCAACATTCTTTCCACTCAGTCACCTAGTTGCCTAGAAAGAACATCCAGTGTTCTTTCTCTGTCAAAGAGATTTAAAGGTAGGCGAGGGGAGTTTAACTGCTCCCAGTCTTCCAAGAGCATTTCTTCACAAGGATGCCAGGACCTATGTAGATCTTTTGCCCAGAACTCTGAGTAAGATTCTGGAGCATATCTGCTATAAACTGGACTGGGCTCTCAGGTCCCCCATGTCCAGGGGAGACCAGAAAGGAGGCTGGCTTGTGGGATAAAGGAATGTGGGGAGCTGGAAGGGACTGGATTATGTGATCTAGCCTCAGCTAGAGGCTCCCCTCCTCCAGAGGGGAAACTGAGGTCCCAAGTTGGGAAGTGAGTTGTCCAAAAGGAACTCGGCTCATAAGAACTAGAACTCAAAATCCAAGCTCTCCCTAAGCTACATTTCATGGATATCAACCTTCTTGTTTGTCTGGGCAGTCAGAGAAGCTTGAGGCATAAGTCTCTTGGGAAACAAAAAGTTTTTTAATTAAAAAAGCTTTAACTTACTATCATCTTGTACTCCATGACTCTGCTCTGCCCCCTCCTTAGGACCAAACCCCACCCAGGGTCAGGGCCCTCAGCTTTCCCAGAACCCTCTGGGAGGAGGAAATCTATCAAGCAGCAGGGCCCTGGGCCTCCAGCCAGCCTGCTCACACAATGTACTGGGCCCGGGCCAGGAAGGCCTCCGGCTCCACAGCTTCCGGGCTCCCGAGGACACCCAGGCGGGGGCTGGGGGGTGTCAGAGTCTGGGTGCCCTTCAGGGCAGGACTGGGGGAGAGGATTGTAACAGCAGTGGTGGAGGGGGGTACGCCTCCTCCCATTTTCCAGTGACAGGATAACTGAGGCACAGAGTGGGTTGCCTCAAGGGGACTTGCACAAGTCAGCACAGTTTGTCAGTGGAAGGCTGGGTTGGGACTGAGACCCAGGAATCCTGATCAGTCTTACTCTGGTGAGATAAGCTGTACCCATCTGAGACTGGAGAAACAGCCTGGCCCAGCTGAGCCCCTCCTGGCCTCCCAGGAAGAGAAATCTAGCACACACAGTTCCCTTCTGAGGGAGGTAACAAAAGAAGAGGCCTTCTCTCACCCCATTCCCACCTCCCCACCCCACACCTCACCTCCTTCAAAGCAGGAAGCCTTACATGGCATGGAAAGTTCAGAAGCAGAAGGAAAAAAGGCACCTGTCAGACGTGGAAGAGTTTGGGGAAGATAGGGAAGAGAGAAGGAATGGAAATGAAAAGGCCACAGGCAGAGGGAACTGCTCCCCTCCAGGAATGAGCTCCGGCCCCACTACTGGGACAATGTGGGATCGAGGAGCTTTAAGACACCACCCACCAGGTGAAGACTGCCAGTGACCAGAACCTGGATGGAGGAGGCTTCCTTGAGGAGGACAGCCCCACTGCTGGCCACAGGGTGGGAGTGAAGCCCCTGGGGAGGGCTGGGAGGCTGAAAGTGGGGGTCCCGGCCCTGACTGATCCACTGCAGGGCATGGGAGATGCAGCTGAAGACCAGAGAGTTGGCGTTGAGAGGCCGGGGAGCTGAAGGAACCAGGAGAAGAGGCCCATGCAAGGGTCCACTGCTGGGTTCTGGGGCCTGGGCCAACCAGGGGTCCATGCCTGCCTTCTCCTCTGCCAGCTGGTTCCACTGTTTCTGGTTCTCCAGACATCGTGTCAGCATGTGGTCCAGGGTGACCGTGAAGTTCTGCTGGTCTAAAGGGTGAGGGGAGAGGGAGACAGGACAGTAGGATGAGGCCTCATCTCCACCAGAGGATGGGGAACAGGACAAAATGTACGGATGGGGAGAAGGCTGAGGGTCACCGGGGAAAGGTCATCCAAGTTCAACTGAGGCAGCACTGTACAGCAGAAAGAACCCCAGACTAGGGATCAAGAGCTTTGGATTCTAGTCCCAGCTCTGGCACTAAACTGGCCGTGACCTTGGGTAAACCACTGGATTTCAGCTTTCCCACATGTAGCTTGAGATGAGTGGAACTGGATGCTCTCTGCGGTCCCTTCCTGTTTTTCTCACACCCCTGATTGTTAAGAATGAAAGAGGGAGAAACCCCCCTTTAGACACCCTGGCCTGCCCTCCTCCTCCCAGGCCGGAGTTTGGGGTGAGGCCACTCTTGGGTGATGGGCTCCTTAAAATGAAAGGGGAGGGGACACAGGGGAAGAGAAGAGCATGCTTCTCTCCAGTCTCTGCTGCTGGCCATCTCCACTGCCCTCAAAGGCACTGACGGCAAGTTTAGCACAGAACAGAGTACCACCCAGGGGTAGGTGGGATTTGCAGGGGGAGGGGAGCATACAACTTCCCAAGCTGGATGTGGTGGGGCTGCATGACCGTCTCTCTCAGATAGTGCCTGCGGAACAGACAAGGGCCACCCCCATGACCCTCGTTCCCCTCGGTGCTTTGGGGCCCTCGATGTCTCTCACCTGCATTTCCCACAGGAGACATTTCAGTCAGATTGGGGCAGAAGACAGCATAGTCAAACTGGCATGGCTGAAAGATCCATGGGATAAAAGTGCTATCAGGCAGAGGAATAGCGCTGCGCTACCTGAAGCCCCAGCCCTTGCTTGGTTCTAGGTGAGGCTCTGCTGCCGACTAGCGGTACGACCTTGGGCAAGTCCATTCCCCTCTCTTGGACTCAGTTTCTCCAGTTAGGACATGTGAGAATTGGACGAAAGGGCAAACCCTGACAGTATCCTTACAGGGCTAACGTTCTGGTGAAGAACTGGCTCCCCTCTAGGGAAACTGCCCCACCTGGTGGACGCTAAGAGAACTGCAAGGCCCTTCAGCAGTGGAGCTCCAAGCATCATTCCCTGCTAGCCGCTTCAGAGGTTACCTTACCTGCAGCAGTTTGAGTAGAGCTGCTGTGTCTCGTTCTCCAGTGGCATTGAAGAGCAAAACCCGAACCTCAGGGCCACTGTGGGTGAGAAATCCAATTCAACCGCACAAACATTCATTAAAGCCCCCACCATGTGTCCCGTGGTAGGCAGTAGATAAAAATAAAGACTCTTCCTGCCCTAAAGGTCTAGTAGCGGGTAAAGTCAAAAAAAGTGCTTTCCAGGAACATCTGAGGAGAGGGAAAAGGAGGAGAGAGGGGGAACGAGACAGACTGAGAAGAGGAGTGGGAGAATATGAGAACAGCACAGAGAGAGAATTTCAGCTGCTAAGTTCAGGGAGTGTTGCATGCAAGAGGTAGCACTTAAGCTGTGGCTTGAAAGAAGAGGATTTTAACAGAAATGAAACATAATATGACTTCCAGGCATGGAAAGAAAAGGAAACTCCTCCCCAATTCCTAAGATGGGCACCCAGTGACTCATATCATACCACGGGCCTCTGGGATCAGAACCCCAACACCTTGGAGCAACTAGGTGGTGCAAAGGATAGAGAAGCCAAGCCTGGAGTCAGGAAGACTCCTGAATCAAAATCTCACCTCACATTTACTATCTGGGTGATCCTGGGCAAGTCACTTAACATGTCTGCCTGAGTTTCCTTAAATGTAAAATGAAGATAATAACAGCACCTACTTCTCAGGGTGGTTGGAGATTATAATGAGCACAGTGCTGGGCACACAGTAAATGCTATATAAATGTTACTATAGATATGCGGAGGAACAGGACAGCAGGTTTAAGTGGAAAGTGAGCAAGCCTAGAGAGTCCCATCTTCCCTAAATAACCATGCCCCTTATTCTCACACCCTGATAAAGGAACTCACTTGTTAAGCTTCTCTTGGTTGAGCACTGCGCGGCGGAACCACCGCACCCCAGCCTGAATGCTGCTGGTGGTGTGAGCCCCATCCAAGTACCAGGTGAGGGCGCCTCGTCTCAACATCTGCGTCCGGCCTTGCCATTCTGTGTCCTGCAGCCCTGGAACAAAGTGGTGGGATGGAGAATGCAATGATCAAGAGTAATCTGTTCCATGAAGGCTCTGTGATCTCCCCCCATGTCCCTAGGCTGGAAATGCTCTCTCTCCATCCTTGGAACCTCAAACACTTAGAGCTTTTATAGCCTCTTCATAAGCCCACAAGAGGAAAGGACCTCAGAGGTAATATAGTCCCACCTCCTTATTTGATATGTGAAGTTAACTGAGGCTCAGAAAGGTTAAATGATTTGTCCATAGACTAAGTAGTAGAGTGAGAATTAGAACCCAGTTCCTCTGACGAATTACACCGCATTTATTTTGTCGCCCTCCCCCGACAGCTGCCTCCTCTCCATTAAAGGTAAGCTCCTGGAGGCCTGGGCCTGCTTTGATTATTGTCATTGTATTCCCAGCATCTAGCGCAGTGTCTGGCACGTTGGAGTTGTTTACTAAATGTTTATCGGGGCAGCTAGATGGCACAGTGGATAGAGCACCCACCCTGGAGTCAGGAGGCCCTGAATTCAAATCTAGCCTCAGACACATAACACTAGCTGTGTGATGCTGGGCGAGTCACTTAATCCCCATTGCCCAACAACTACAACAATAAATAAAAATAAAGGTTTATTGACTGACTTTAGAAAAAAGAAATGAAGAATAAAAATTGGTCAGTATCTATGTTGCAGGAATAAGGGTACTGTAGTGACCAGTCTTATCAAACTTTTTTTTTTTTAAGTGAGGCAATTGGGGTTAAGTGGCTTGCCCAGGGTCACACAGCTAGGAAGTATTATGTGTCTGAGGCTGGATTTGAACTCAGGTCCTCCTGATTCCAGGACTGGTGCTCTATCCCCTGCAGCACCTAGCTGCACCCCACCCCCGTTCTGATTTTCTAGGCAGAAATCTCAATAGTGTAGAAAAGGTCAGTTCTTACAGGGGGCACATTTTGCTAAAAATCTCTCTTAAAAATATAAATCCCTTTACTCAACTCCACATTCACCAAATAACCTTCAGAGCTGCAATTTGGTGTCTTGGATAAGACTCTAACCACCGAGAAGTTGGCTGACAGATGCAGGTGACCAGCCCAGGTTCGTGGGCCAGATACAGGGGAAAAAAATGAATCACGTGCCATTCTAGGCTCTCAGGAAGTTCCATGTGAGACGGGCGGGTAGGAATCGATTGCCCAGAGCTTAATCACCTTGGGGTGAGCGGACAACACTGAGCTTAGGAACCTGTCATACTGGGCATTGGCTCCTGGGACCTGAGGTGACCCCACACAAGGGGCAGGTGAATATCCAATGAGGCACAACCCAACTGACAGCTGCTGTTCCTCACTAGAATCATCATCTTAACAGCAACAAGGAGAATGCAAAAGATGCTGCACCATAAACTATATATACACATAATAAATTAACTGGGGAACAGCTGAACAAGTTGTGGCACACAAATGTAATAGACTATTATGGCAATGTAAGAAACAATGACCACAGGGAATTCTGAGAAACACGAGAAGACTTGTAAGAACTGATGCAGAGTACAGAGTTAAAATAATCTATGTCTAGAATTCTCTAATGTAACTGAAAATTACCCTGGAAAAAGTAACTGATCTCAAATTAAATGCAATGGCTAATATTAATCTTGGAAGACAAATGAAACATATTTCCTGCTTTTTAGCAGAGAGGTGGGTATGGGTATGGGTACTGAATGATACATGTGCTATCAGGCTATTTCTGTGTGGGCCCTTTCTGTTTTCGTCATTTTTCTTTGTTGTAAGGGAGTTCCATAGAGGGGGGGAATATTGGGAAAGGGCTGTGGAAAGAACAAACCTAATACAGTTTCTTAAGACTGGGAAAAATACTGTAGTAAATATATCTACAAGGACCTGGCACAAACTTCTAAGAAATACATGCGTTCCCAGGCAAAGGATCTGCAAAGACAGAAGGTCTCAAAGGAACACAAAATTTTACAGGCACTCCAACTGTTCAAACTCTCTAAAAATCTAAGAAAGGCAGATTTTAACAAATATTTTGGTTGAACAATGCTAAGATTTATTTAAATGCTTGGCATTCATGAGCCCTTTACAATCGGGCTCCCGCCTACATTTCCTTATTTATTTCACATTAGCCTCTGCTTCCCATAGTCTCTGAGAGTCAAGCTGAGCCATCTGCTGTTCCCTGACCTCGACATTCCATCTTCCACCTGAGTGCCTCTCCACAGGCTGTCTCCCATGCCTGGAATGCACTCCCTCCCTCCTTCCCACTTCTCCACCTCTCCACCAATCTTTAACTGCCTTCAAGGCTCGGCTCCCACGTGCCACCTTTTGTGAGCCGAGCCTCCAGCTATTCCTCCTTCAAATTGCATTCATCCATCTGCACGTGCGCAGAAGCTCCCCCCAATAGAAAGGAGGCCCCTTGAGGCCAGGGCTGGGCTTCACTGTCTTGGCATCCCTAGTGTCTTGGTGGGAACGTAATAAAATGCGTGTTGAAATGAGACAAGTTACACCCCCCTTATGCCCATTAAATTGGCAAAAATGGTCAAAATGATACAATTCCATGTTCTCAGGACTGTGCAGAAGCAGCCAGTCTTACACAGCTGGCAAAGCTGTGAACTGGGTGGATCTTTGGGGAAGACAATCTAACCATGTAAGGCCAGTCATCAAACTGATGGTGGTACCCTTAACCCAGGGATCCCACAATTAGGGCTATACCCTAAGGATGTTGTAAGGGGAGGGTAAAGACCTCTTGGTAAAAAAATATTTTTAATGGCTTTTTTGTTATTGCAAATAACTGGAAAAAAGCCTCTACTTGCAACAAGCGGAGAATGGCTGAACACAGTCATACATCAATGCAGTATTATCATTCCATTAGAAATAACAAATATGAAGAAAATACAAAGAAATGTGCCAAGATTTATGTGAAGGGATGCAGAGAATGAAAACAGAAACAGAAAACATTCACTGACTGCAACTTCTATTAAAGAGAAAATAGCAACAAAATCTGACAGTAGATACGGGGAAAAAAAGCAGAAAAGAAAAAAAGGTCATTTTTGTTAATGTCATTTTAGCAAACTAAATCATTTATGGTTTTACTAGAATTTGATGGTTTTGCGGATAACTTAATAAACATATTTTTTGTAAAAAGATATGTAACATCTGAAAATGAAGAGATTAGGAGCTCTATGGCCATCTCTAGCTCAAAATCTATGATCCTATGACATTATCCTTATTCCTCAAGGCCGCTCCTGTCTAGCTAAGGAGACAAAGTTCACAGGCAAGACAAGTCTAGAGAATCAGAAAGGGCCACAGGACATGGTACTAAGTACAGTAAGAGAAACAGAGGATGCGTGGAGATCACGCTGTTGGGGCAAGTCAGAGAAGGTTTCAGGGAAGGGTCCAACTTGAGCCAACTTGAATGGAAATTAGGAAAATTGAGGGAATGAAGGAGGACTTTCTAGGTGAAAGGAACAACCTCAGCAAAGGGGCGAAAGTGGAAAGGAGATTAAAAGCAGTCAGACCACAAGTGGAGGTATGTGGAAGCCAGGGAGAAAACTGGATGGCTACCAACAGTTTAGAGTCCAGACCTGTCCGCCTGAGCACAGGGCTGTTATGGAGAGGGTTTAATTAACAAATATTTATTATGCATCCTCTATGAAGCAAACATTGTACTAGGCACCAGACACAAAGATAACAAAAACAGTCTTTGCTCTAAGGAATTTACATTCCAATGGGGGAAAAAGCATTTATATGTTAGAGGAATTTAGAAAACACATACAAAGCAGACACAAGGTAACCTTGGCTGAGAAAGCACTAGCAGCAGGGGCGGAGCAGAAAAGGGTCTCTGTAACAGGTAGCACCTGAGCTGAGTCCTGAGGGAAGCCAGGGAGGGTCTAGAGGTGGAGGGTGGGAGGGAGGGTAGTCCAGGGATGAAGCCCTGTGTGTAAAGAACAGGTCAGTTGGCTGGCCCTGTGGAGGGGGCACTGAGGCTGGAGTCTGGAAGATTCCAATTCAAATCTGGCCCCAATCACTTACTAGCTGTGTGGCCCTGGGGAAGTCACTTAACCATTGCCTGCCTCAGTTTCCTCATCTGTCAGGTGGGGTAGAATAATGGCAATTACTTCCTGGAGCTGTTGTGAGGACTAAATGAGATACTTGTAAAAACTGCTTAGCACCGTGCTGATACAGTAGGTGCTTATTAAACCATTCCTTCCTTTCTTCCTTCTTTACTTCATTAAGGACAGCTAGGAGGCACAATGGATAGAGAGCTGGAGTTGGGAGTCCAAAACCTGAGTTCAAATCTAGCCTCAGACACTTCTGGCTATGACTCTGGGCAAGTCATTTAACCTCCGTTTCCTTATCTGCAAAATGGAGTTAACAACACCTGTATAAAGCACTTCACAAACCTTAAATAGCACTCCCCCAATGCTAGCTGTTCATACGACTGACTGTCAAGGAGGCCAGTGTGTCTGACTCTATGGAGTGTGATGTGGAAGGAGGCTGGAAAGGCAGGAGGAGGACAGGATGGGAAAGGGAGGGGCTGGGACTAGATGAGCCCCGAGTCCCTTCCCCCTCAGACATTTAATGGGATGCCTTCAAGAGATCAGGGCACCCTCCCCAGTGACAAGAGATGTCAGGGTACTTACCCTGCTTCATGGGCAGGGTGGGATGGAATACAGGAGCCAGGGGCAGGGCTCGCCGGGAGGTCAGCCTGGTTGCCTTCAGCTCCCCAATACCTGTACAGGAAAGGCAGCAATGTTAAGACCCCATGGTCCAGCATTAGGGGGAAGCCTATTAAAAAACACCTGAAGAGGAAAGAGACATGTAGCACATACAGCTGGCTCGCTGGCAGCTTTCCTCACTCTCTCCTAGACTCACACCCTTAGATTCATAGGGATTTACCAATGTTCCCATGCCCTGAGGTATCCAGATTCCCCCAGCACTCCTGGCCTGGTGAGGACAGGAAACTCACTTCCCTTTAAATCAACTGAGTTAAGAGTTTACACTCCACTTGATAATTAAAGAAAGTAACAAATAGTTACAAAGCTAGATAGAGCCAGTGTAGTCTTCTTCCTTCAACAAATTAGTGGAATTATCTGCCTAGGGTACTCCTCCATATCACATTCTTAACTCAAACTCATTGCCATCTCTCTGCCTCAATTCCTACAAGGGTAATGAGGGGCAGACAGTCTTTAGGCAGGGTCCGTAACTACTAACTGGTTAATCACAACTGCTATAGAGAAGATTTTTGCTCAGGTTGGACTGAGATTCCTCTGAGCTCTGAGCACATCAACAGCTATTCTAACTGCGCGCTGACTGACTCACATATTGAAATGAATTCACTAGGTGGCCAGACCCAGGGGAGAAAGGAGCTCCACTACAGTAGGCCATTTCTAGACTCCCCCTTACCCTTGTGGCCCTGTCGTTGCAGCCAGCACCGGGCCAGCTGCAGAGCCAGAGCAGCATTGCTCCGCTGGTGATCGCCTGCCAGCCCCAGGTGCAGTGGCTGTGCTTCTTCCTCAAAGGCCTCCAGTGGGGGGCACAGGTACAGCGGACACTGCGGGGCACAGACAAGCAAAGGCTTTATTTCAGGGCTCTCCGTTGTCCAAGTGATCAGGGGTGTGGAAATTCCAGGTGCCCGCCTGCCTCCTCTCTAGGCAGTGCCTCCGGCTCCACCTTCCAATCCCACTCGCTCTATGGAGGAGGCTCCATAAAGGACACAGACATGGGAGCCAGGCCACCTGGCTTCAAGTCTCAGCTCTGCCCCTGGAGCACTTTGGAACCTTGGCAGAGGCACTGGGCTTCTGGTTCCCCATTTGTAAAATGAAGGGATTAGACTAGATGGCCCCAAGGTTCTCTTCTTTTCCCAACCTTATCAGCCTGCTCTAAAAGACTTTAGAGATTAGTAAAAGCTGACATTTACCACATGCTGCCTTGTGAGAGTCCTGCACTTAATTTTGGCTCTTAGAGATGAAGGGACCCTCAAGAGATCAACTGGTCCAGGCCCCTGACTTTAGGCAGGTCAGGTAGCATTATCCTCATTTCAAAGATAAAGAAACGGTGACTAACAGAGGCAAAACAACTTTTACTGTTAGAGAGTAGCAGAAGTGGGCCAAAAATCCAGGAGCCCATGCTGCTTCCAGGGGCAGAGGGTATGTGGCTTAGAGGCATTTCTTGAATTTAGATCAAGATGGTAGGTTAGAATCAGTTAGGGCTTGGAAATAGGATAGGTAAGTGGCTTATATCCCTCGATGTATAGTCAAACTCAAACCTTAATCAGCAGAGACAACAGGGCAGATAAGGGCAGATGAGACATGCTCCGCAGGGGATCCCAATGGTACACGTGGCCCAGGAAGGTGACAAAGTTCCTTCCCCACCAAAATCCAAAGGCACAATTACTCACCATGAGCTTTCGGGCTCGGTCTTTCAGAACCTCCAGGGGGGAGTCTGGCTGGGACACAGTGAAAGCTGGGACACCAGGCTAAAGAAAAAGGGGATTGTAAGGGAAGAAAGGAGACAGGACTAAGCCTGGAGTCCTCTCTCTAGCCCTGGTCTACCCTCCCATAGCCCAGGCCTCTCAAAACCTGTTGTTACACCCAGATAAGCATTTTCCCTTTGTCAATACTCATTCTTCCCAGCCTACATTTCCAGTTTTATCTTATATTTCTTCTGCCCATGACCTCTAAGCTCCAAGACAAACAGGTATATTCTCTGTTCTCCAAAAGGCCACATCAGCTCTCCTGAGCCTGTGTGTGCCTTGCTCACACCATGTCTATGAATGCAATACCCTCTCTCTCCTTCAGTTGTTGTACCTACCCAACTCCTCCATGAAGCCTTCCTTGATCTCCCTGGTTGATACCAATCTTCCTCCTCAGACCTCACACAATAATTGGCTCAGGATCTAACATACTTATCAGTTCAAGTGACAACCCTCACATGAAGCCTTTCTTGATCCAAAATCACCTTGTATTTACTTTGTATCTATTTTATACATCTTATCTCCCCCCATATTCTATTCAATAGAACAGATGCTCCTTGAAGGCAGGGGCTGTTTCATTTCTGTCTTTGAATCCCCAGTGCCTGGCACACAGCAAGAGCTTAATAAATGCTTAAATGTTATAACATACAATATTGCATGATAATTAGTGCTCATGCCTTATCCCTTAAACTAGACTTAAGCCCCTTGAGGGCAGAGCTGTGTCTTATCTAAACTGTAGCTTTCTGTTGCTGGAGTAGTGAACCGGTCGAACCATTCTGGAGAACAACTGGGAGCTATGCTCAAATGGATAGAAAACTATGCATCCCCTCTGACTCAGCAATACTACTCCTAGGTCCATATCTCAGAGAGATCAAAGAAGATGGAAAAGGACCTATATGCACAAAAATAGCAGCTCTTTTTGTGGTGGCAAAGAATTAGAAACTGAAAGACAGAACTGGAGAATGGCTAAACAAGTTATGGTATATGATTATGGTGGGATGCTATTGTGCCATAAGAAATGATGAAGGAGACAGTTTCAGAAAAACCTGGGATGACTCAAATGAACTGATGCAAAGTGAAGTGAGCAGAACCAGGAGAACATTGTATACAGTTAAAAGCAAATTTGTAACAACGATCAACTGTGAGAAACTTAGTAACTCTGATCAATACAGAGATACTGAGACCTAGCGCTGTGACACAGCCAAGGTGACACAGTGAGTGGGTAGTAAAGTTAGAGGATTACAATCTAGGGTTCGTGCTTCCCAGTCAATTAACACCACCAACAGCAGCAGCCAGAATTTACATAGCATCTACTTACTATGTGCCAGGCACTGTGCCAAGCACTTTACAATTATTATCTCAGTTGATACTTGCAACAACCCTGGGAAGTAGATGCTATTATAATCCCCATTTTACAGACAAGGAAACCAAGACATACAGAAGTTAAGCGACTTATTCAAGGTAACACAGCTAGTGAGTATTGGAGGCTGGATTTAAATTGAATCTTCCTGGCTCCAGGCCCAGGGCTCTATCCACTGGGCCACCAAGCTGCTATTTTCTTGCCACTCAACCATCCAATGCTCTTGTACATGTCAGTGTCTTTAACACAAACTTCTGTAAGACAAGAATCTGCTTCCTGAGGGAACTGGAGGGAGTTAGTGGTTCTATCCTCAAAGTCAGGAAAAGCCAGATTTTCCTTGCTGGCTTCTGTCCCCAGGCCCAGGAACACTCTGTCAACTCAGTGGAAAGACACCTGAATTGAAAGTTGGCATCAACTCTGGATTCTTGAGATAGAATCCCAGCTCTGACATTTATTAGCTGTGTAACCTTGGGCAAGCCCATTCCCTTCTCTGAGACTCAGTTTCCTCATCTGGAAACAGGAACAAGACTACCTTAGGAGTGTGGAGGGGAAAGTGCCACAGAGATGTGAGGTCAGGATTTATCAGTCTTTTGATTTGTCACAGGGGCTATTACCTTAAAGATGCCCCCCTTCTGCCATGCAATCTTCTCAATAGTGTCACCCAAGATGTTGACATGGTCTATGCCCAGAGACGATATCCCACAGACCACTGGCTTCCTGGGAAAAGGGTCAGGGATAAGTGAGAAAGGTTAATGTTGGCCCCACATCCCTCTCTGGAACTCCCATAGGGTCTGGGGAAGGTGCTTCTGCCCACCCACATTCTTCATTAATCCCTCTCTACCCACTATGAACAATCAGAGGACTGGGATTCCCTATCCCTCCACCCCTACTCCATTACCTGAGGTCAGAACCAGAGGCTTCTTACCTGACAATGTTGGTACAGTCATAAGCACCACCAATGCCCACCTCCACCACTGCTAGGTCCACCTGGAAGCAGGCAGCCAAAATATCAAATGTCAGTCTGGGGATGGGTTTGCCTAACACACAGACCTACTCTGCATAAGTGGCCAAGAGCACATCCCCCTCTCCTCCCACCCTCCCACCCTGGCTGACACTCAGGAGCGGGCACAGACCATGGCTCACTATACAGTCCCATGGCTGCCAGAAGGCATTGGGCAGTACAGACCAGGACATCACAAAAGGGGGTGATTAGGTTCTGGGCCTAGGGAGGTGGAGTCTGGGATGATGGGTACAGACAGACATCCTGGAGAACCATACCTTCTCTTGGAGGAACACATGGAAGGCCATGATGGTAAGGAAGCGGAAGTAAGGGGGCATACTGACACAACTGCCATCCTGAGGGCAGAGAGACAGGATCAGGAGAGGGGGAAAAAAAGCCAGGAGATGAGAGACATCGCAACATGGCAGAAAGAATCTGGATGGAGAGTCAGGAGACCTGAGTTCTAATCCCACTTCTGTCACTAACTTGCTAGGCTGACCTTGGGCAACCATGACCTCTTGGGCCTCAGTTTCCCCATCTGCAAAACGAGAGGACTGGATGATATGGTCACTAAGTTCTTTTCAAAGATACAATTCCAGGGCCCAACCTTACCCCTGCTGACCCTAGATCTGGAGGCTGAGGGGTGGACAGAGAAGAAACCCAGAGAAGACCAGGGACCAACCTCCCCCTCCAATCCTGCCCTGAGTCTCCCCACCTTAGTCTGCTCCAGCCGATTGTAGAGCCGCCAGAAGTATTTGGTGAAGAGCTCAGGGCTGATGGGGTCACCATTAATACGGATTCGCTCCCGAACCTGCACCAGATGAGGAGAGCTAAAGAGACAGAGAGACCTTTGTGAGGCACTCTCCAGCACTGAGAACCTTCTGTTTGCCTCCTGGGAAAGGCTGGGGGGGCTCCTCCTGCCTTGAACCCCCATACCTGTAGAATCCAGTTTTTAGGCCATAGCCACGGAGAATACGTTCAGTGAAGGCACAAGTAGAGCCCTGAAGAGACACAGAGAGAAGGGTGAGGGCTCAGCCAGCCCCAAGGCTGGGCCTCAACCACTGCCGCCTCTGACACACACAGCCCACACCTCCCTGATCTTACCTTCCCTTTGGTGCCGGTCACATGGATGATCTTCAGCTGATCTAAGTCCTCTATCTGAAACAGAGACAACTGGCTCAGCAAGTGAGACACCGTGCTTCAGATTTCACCCTTGCTAGTGCTCCGGTTCAGGTTAATGACGGCACCTTTGAGGGGATGCCGGTGGAGGAGGGGAAGCCTCCTATCTCTACTTACCTGCAGCCCACTTCGCATTAAATAATGCTTCATGGCTTCCAGCTGGACCTGTGGGTCTCCCCGCTCTTGCTTGATCTGTTCGAGGAAGCCAGCATTGGTCTGCAGGGTGTTGAGGGCCCGCACAGCATCCTAAGGACCACAAAGGGTTAGAATTGGACAGGCATATTAGAGGAAGAAATGTCAACAGCTTAGAAATCACCCTCCCTCTGCAACCATCTCCTATGAGAAGACTGAGCCTGTCAGAAGTAAAATCACAGGATCATAGATTTAGAGTTAAAGGATCTTAGAGGTCAGAGGGTTCTACCCCCTCACTGTACAGATTGGAAAACTAAGGCTCAGAGGTTAAAAATGACTTGCCCAGTGTCACACAGGTAGTAAATATCAGAGGAGGGATTTCAGCCCAAATCCAGGCCACTTTCATGACTTACTTAAGGCGATCAGAAGCAGAGCTGGGCCTAAGACCCCAGGTTTTCTGAATCCCAGTACAAATCTCATTCCACTATGTTAGCTGACTTCAAGCTAACCAGCGCCCACCCCTGTTCCCAACAATTTAATAATACTTTCTTCAACCTATCCAGGTCACAGATGGGTGAGAGAATGAAGCCTGGGGCTCGCCCATCTTGTTCTACATGAAGACTCAATGAGAAAATGAGCAAGCCAGTCTAGTTACATGTGATCCCTCAAGTGGTAACAAAGGCTTCTGAATCACCAGCATACTCAAAAGCTCTGTCTCTCCCACTCTTTGCAATTGCCTCACATCCAACTAGTTTTAAACGGGAAGAGGGAGCCTGTGCACTAAGATCTCTGCTTGAGGGTGACTGGTCCTGCCATGCTCACACCCCTCAGCACCAAACTAATGGGACGTCCCATTGTACTGGTGTTCGAGGGCAGGATGCCAAGGGCTCCAGGAAGAGTGAGAAATCATCTGATTAGATGATGCCTTTATTTTACAAATAAGGAAATGGGGGCAGAGAAGTTAGTCAATTCTCTGAAGTTACATAGTTGGTAGGTGAAAGTTGGTTAGTGAGAAGAGATGCAGGCCTTAGGCTATTATTCTTGTCACTCCAGCTGTCAAAAGTAACTGCCTCTCCAGCATACTAAAGGGTGGTTTGCCTGAGCAGATGGAAACAGTATTAAATGTTTCACCTGAAAGTTATATTGTTTTCCCAAAGGAATGAGTTTTGTCTAAACTCACCTGAGGCCAAGGGAATGTACAAGAGGACAGGTGGAATTGTAAACCCCAGGTCACTTTATGAAAAGGTGCTGACCCTATGATAGCTACTTATACTCCCTTCCCCCACCCCAAGCTCCAGTGTCTTTCCCTGCTGCCAGCTATGTGGCCTGGCAGGCAGATATCAAACAGACCTTCCCCTCTGGCGGGTACCAGGTGTTCTGCCCTAGGTAGTCACAAGATCCTTCGCAAAGCCAATGGGTGCAAAGTTGGGGCCTGGGCACCCTGTTACCCCTGGCAACCAAGCCAGAGGGAGCAGGGACAAAGGGGACACCACCCAGAAAAGTTGGCAAAGTTCCTCCCTGCAAGGCCAATGATGCCAGCCTGGTTGATCCCTTACTCCAAAGCCTGGACTCCTGAGTTCCCCACATTCCAGCACCCCCAAACCCTTGGCCTCACCAGAAACCTGGGAGCCCCCAATCCCACTAGATTCCAGGGTGCCCCCAACCCCTGACCCCATCAGGCTCCTGGTGGCTCCCAAACTCTGACCCCACTAAATTCCTGGGCGCCCCCAATCCCCGATTCCACCAGACACCAGGGCGCCCATTCTCCCTGAACCTACTTGACTCCAACCCCGGACTCCACCCAGACTCCAGGGGCCCCCTGCTCTTTGCAGCCCCGGGTATCCCGGACTTTCTGGTGTTGCGTGGCCTTGGCCGCCGCTGCCCACGTGTCCACCCGCCCTGACCGGACTCATGTCGGCCGCCCCGGTACCTGGTACTCCATCCCGGGCTCCTGCGGCACCGGTCGTGCGCTCAGCCCCCGCCTCGCCGGCCCGCTCCCGAGCGGGGGCTCTGCCGCGAGCCGCAACGCCGCGTGCAGAGCTCGGCAACGGGCCCAAGACATGCCGCTGAGGAAGCGAGAGGCGAGGCTCCAGCTGCCGCGGCTCGTCTCCCCGGCCCCGCCCCTGACCCACGTGGGGACTGCACCGCCCCTACGATGACGTACCCACGATGCCCACCAATCCTCGACCTGGAGGTCTTCGCTTTTCCACCAATGGTGGAAAGGTCCCTCCGGCGGCCATCTTTGTTCGGGGCGAAAACTAACGGGATTTAGGGGCACTGGGAGGCAGTGCGAGAAGCCAGTGACGCCATATTTGTAGGGCTCACAACTTTTTTCCGTTCCTGCTCTGAAAGGGGCTGACGTGCTCTTCTGTCTCTGCTGGGGAGATAGCCTCGTCGTGCCTTTAGAAACCTGGACCAGACCCTTGACCTCGCCTACTCGGAGCTTTCACCTTCTCTAGGCTTACGACAGTTCACACTCTACCAGCCTGTCCACATCTTCAACAAACGAGAGTATTTGGTGCAAACCCATCTTACAAATCTGGACAGGACGGTGGTAAAGTGGAAAGAGTGCTCGCTCTGCTCAGTAGACCTGGGTTCAGAACTTATCTCTCATATATCATGTTGAGCTCTTTGCAGGCAAGGACTTTGTTTGTTTTGCTTTTGTTTGTATCCCCCAAACCTTAGCACTGTGTCAGGCACTTAGTAGGTACTTATTTCCTGCAAAACCCATAAGCAAGTCACTTATATTCCCAAGCCTCCAACCTCCCCATCCCCCACCCACTTTTGTAAAAGGAGGGAGTTGCGTTAAGCGGCCTGTGGTCCCTTGTAGATCATAGCTCTATGATCCTAAATTACTTCTTTAAAATTACAAATGAGTTTGATGGAAGAGCTGGAATTTAGAGAAGCAGAGGAAAGACCAAGAAGGACGGATGAGTTGTTACCTCCATTGTCTCCCAGCAGCCCTTCGTTCCCCCAACCCTGTAGAGTATACAAGGAGCACCAAACTGAACCACCTACCTCCTAGGTTCGCCTTGCTGGGCTCCCATTAAAGGATACCCAGCTCCTCCCCACCGGGGAGGGTTTCATCATCTCTTGCTGTCATTTTTGGATAAAATGATCAGGTCCAGTCTTTAGCGTCATCCCAGCCCTTTCTAAGGCAGAAACACTAGCCAGAAAACAACTGAGCCTCAATTTTGAAGTGACCGTGACCCTGGTGCGGTGATCCATCCTCTAGCTTCTCCACAGGGAGGCTAACTTTGCACAGCCCTCCCTCACTTAAGTCCAATTAATTTGCACATTGTGGCATCACTTCCCAGATGTAAAGGTCTTCTCCGAGAAGGAAGGACAAACAACAGTTCTAATTGTACCTTTGTGCTGACCAGGGGAGAGCTCACTGATAAAAGAGGGAAACAGCAAGGACGTGTTCTGGTTACACTAAGCCTTCTCTCTACCCCAATGTTAACCTGGAAAACATTAACCTCGTTGAAAGAAAGAAAGAGGGTTTAAATATTTATCAAGGCCTGAGAGTATTTTCAGTATTTCAGGAAGGGGTTGAGGGGAAAGGTCATCCGGAGATCAATCACTAGTTAAGATTATATGAACCTTATATACATGCTATAGTTAAAGGCTGCTCAGCCTTTTAAAACTCTTATTGTTGACCTTGGACTTCATTACTGTTGGCTTTTGTTTACCCCCTTGCAAAATGAGGAGGTTGGACTAGATCTCTAGAGTGTCTTCCAGCTCAAAATCCATGTTAATGGGACGCATTTACACATTATCTATCCCTTAAAAATTCCTTTTATTTTCAGCTCAAACCATACCCTCCCTACATAAGATCTGCTCTAATCATTACCTCTATTACTAATGCCTCCCCTTACACAATATTACCATGTATTTATTTTGCATGTGTGTGTATTTCATTTCTGCCTTTGTAACCCCAAGACTTATTGTGTAGCACAGTGCTGACCCTATATTAGGAGATTTGAAAAAAAGTTTGTTGATTTAAGAAGCAGATATTGATGCAAGTGAAGAGAAAAAGATCAAAGGTTAAAAGTCTCAGAGTATGTCGAGGATTGACATCAAAGGAAAGTAAGGCTTCAGCTTCTACAGGAGGAATGTCAATTAGATTTGAGGAACAGCTCCTTAATAGAACATCAGCCTGGGAAGGCAACCCTGAATGAAGGTTTCCAGGGGGCAGTGGGAGAGAGAGCAGATTGAACTTGATGTCTTCTCAGGTCAGGATGTAGGAGCCAGAGCTGAGCCCTGAAGGAACACAGATTCTGAGTAGAGATGAAACAGAACATCCCAGGAACTGGGATTTGCTAATGAAAATGCAGGAGGTAGGATGCTTCCGGGGACAGAGGGAAATCCAGTTTGGCTGGACTAAAAGAGAACAATGTGGAATAAGGCCGGAAAGGTATATTGTAGAAGGTTATAAATGCTGGCCAATGGGTCTATATTTCAGAGTGGCATGCTCAGATATGTGCCTTAGGAAGATTTGGAAAGAATCTAAAGTAGGACAGGGTTGGGGGGTGGGAAAGAGGGACTGGACCAGGGGTGAGGAATCTTCAGCCTCGAGGCCACACATGGTCCTCTAGGTCCTCAAATTTGGCCCTTTGACTGAATTCAGTCAGAGGCTGTAGGTTCCCCACCCCTGGACTGGACTGACAGGCAATTAGACTATCTAAATGGTCTAGGTAGGAATGGGGGCATAAATTAGTGTGGTTGCACTGGGGAGCAAGTAGGGAAGGAGAGATGTTGTTGAGATGTCTGCTTAAAATGCTTCAGTGTTCTATCTATGTGAAAGGAATTATGATTTTCATATTAATCGATATGATATGTGTAATGACTGTATTAATAGATTAGATTTTTCAGAATTGCCTCTTTTAGCTTGTGAGTCAGAAGCTTACAGTGCTGCTTGAAATAATCAAACTCTGACAACGCTTACAATCTGTGTACCTGAAGTGAAGCGAATCAAAGATTAGAGAACCTGTTCCTGTCACAGAACTCTGGTCCCGTTACCCACCAAGTAACGACCCCCAAAGACTTAAAAACAGGACACCTGTACCTTAGTATTGTGGGATTTATGGGCTGGCTCTAGAAATGAGTGTTTG